ATCATATTTGTCACGCGTCAAAGAAAATAACAACTATATTAAGTTATTATAATTTATAAATTGCACTTGTGTATTTTGACGCAAGAAGTGGACCTGGTCGAGCCCCGACGGTTCTAAAAAAAATGAGATTGACTTCATTATGACGACCAGACGACAACTGTTCAGTGATGTCTCCGTGATCGCGAGGGTGAAAACTGGTAGCGATCACCGAATGGTTAGAGGCACACTGAACCTAAACGTTAAGTTGGAGAGGTCTCGTCTAATGAAGTCAACGCTCCGTCCCCCTCGTGCTCTGTTCCAAAGTCCCGAAACCTTTCAGCTCGAGTTACAAAACCGTTTTCAGTGCCTAGAAGACTGCAATGAAGTGAACGATATGAATGACAAGCTCGTGGAAACTGTCCATGCGGTCGGAGCTAAGTTCTGCAAGACCCGCCGCAGAAGAACACAAAAACTCTCCGATCACACTATTAATCTCATGGCTGTTAGACGGGAGATGAAGCTACATTCTTCAACAGACTTGACAGCATACAGGCATCTGAACAGACAGATCTCCAAATGCATGCGGCGGGACTTACGCAACTTCAATACAGCTCGTATTGAAGAAGCAATCGAGCGGAACCAAGGCTCCAAAGTCTTTGCCAGAGATCTGTCTGCCAGAAAGAGCCAACTGTCAAAGCAGAAGACGGAATGTGGCAGCATCGTTTCCGGGACACCTGAGATTTTGAGTGAGATTGAGAGGTTCTATGGGCAGCTGTACACGTCATCGTTGGAGCCACACGCAAGTGTGAGTAACGATCCAAGAGCGAGTCTCATCCGACACTATTCCGAAGATATCCCGGACGTCAGTCTGAGCGAGATTAGAATGGCTCTCCAGCACCTTAAAAACGGTAAGGCCCCAGGCGAGGATGGAATTACAGCGGAGCTTCTGAAAGCGGGTGGAAGACCGGTACTTGAAGTCCTTCAGAAGCTCTTTAATTCCGTCCTCCATGGTGGCATTACACCGGAGGCGTGGAGCAGAAGTGCGGTGGTCTTGTTCTTCAAGAAAGGTGACAACGCTCTCTTGAAGAACTACAGACCGATTTCCCTTCTGAGCCGCGTCTACGTGCTGTTTTCGAGAGTCATTACGAATCGTCTCGCGCGCAGACTTGACGACTTCCAGCCTCCCGAACAAGCCGGTTTCCGAAAGGGCTTTAGCACCATAGACCACATACATACCCTTCGGCAAGTTGTACAGAAGTCCGAAGAGTACAATTTGCCACTATGTCTGGCGTATGTGGACAATGAGAAAGCCTTTGATTCCGTCGAAATTTGGGCGGTGCTACAGTCCCTTCAGCGGTGCCAAGTTGACTGTCGGTATATCGAAGTGTTGAAGTGCTTGTACAGTAGGGCTACGATGGCTATCCGAGTACAGAACCAGACTACGAAACCTATCCAATTGCAGGGAGGTGTAAGACAGGGTGACGTCATATCCCCGAAACTCTTCACCGCTGCATTGGAAGACGTTTTCAAGCTTCTGGACTGGAAAGGATACGGTATCAACATCAATGGCGAGTACATCACTCACCTTCGATTTGCCGACGATATAGTCCTTATGGCAGAATCGCTGGAGGGCCTAAGCACTATGCTCAATGACCTCAATAGTGTTTCCCAACGGATAGGTCTTAAGATGAACATGGACAAAACAAAGATCATGTTTAATGTCCATGTCACACCTATGCCGGTAGTTGTTGGGAGCACTAAGCTCGAAGTTGTTGACGAGTATGTTTACCTGGGACAAATAGTCCGACTAGGTAAGTCCAACTTCGACCGAGAGGTCAATCGACGGATTCAACTCGGCTGGACAGCGTTTGGGAAGCTACGACACATCTTCTCGTCAGACATACCTCAAAACCTTAAAACGAAATTGCAACCAGTGCGTGTTGCCAGTGATGACTTACGGAACTGAGACGTGGTCCTTCACTGCTGGCCGTATGAGGAAGCTCAAGGTCGCTCAGCGAGCTATGGAGAGGGCTATGCTCGGAGTTTCTCTGCGTGATAAACTTAGGAATGAGGATATCCGCAGTAGAACCAGAATAACCGACATAGCCCAACGGATTAGTAAGCTGAAGTGGCAGTGGGCCGGCCATATAGCTCGAAGAACCGACAACCGATGGGGAAGAAAGGTTCTCGAGTGGCAGCCTCGTACCAGTAGGCGAAGTGTAGGGCGTCCCCCCACGAGATGGAGTGACGACCTGGTAAGACATGCAGGAAGTCGATGGATGCAGGTGGCTCAGGACCGTGCTTTGTGGCATTCTTTGGGGGAGGCCTATGTTCAGCAGTGGACTTGTGAAGGGCTGTAATGATGATGATGATTTTGACGCAAAAAGATAAAAAGATCTCTATCAATTTCCATTTCCAAATAAAAATATTCAATTTCTAAAATTGAAGATCAGCCAGAGTGAGACCAAGTCCAAACAGTGGCGGCATCATCGAATTTACGGAAATTTGCGATATAAGTAGGTAGGTAACTAAAATATTGAGATCTGGCCGCGAGCCTTTTGATAATTTCCTTGGTAATAGCTAGTTATATAACTGAAAGCATAGCTAGTTATACCCTTTGGCTTGTCAATATGCCAAAGAGTATAACTAGCTATGCTTTCAGTTTAATAAAAAAGCAAGGTATAAGTAACTTGTTCAATTTTAGAATTAGGGCTTTTAATACAATTGCCCATGCTAATTCATATTAATTGATTATTTTGATTTCCCCGGCAGTGGTAATGCTGCTGCCCGTTACTAGTTTTAGGATTTTAATTTGTCTTGTTTATATAGTTTTTCTGCCATTATCTATACGACAATTACGTCTGGTAGAGAAATATTCTTATATGTATTCCATCTTTCACCATAATACTTTATTATTATAATCTTATTTTTTATTAATTTAGTTACTAAGATTTAGGATTTAAAAAAAATGTATGACATTAATCTATTACAGTAAAATAAAATAGAAATAAAATAGTTTAGAATTTATTCTTTACTGGACCTTACATATTCGGAACAAAACGCGAACCTAACAGTTCGCGTTTTGTCGTTTTAAACTTAGATCAGTAAAATAAAACGTCGAAGGCAATTATAAAAAACTAGACAATGAAATAATACAACTTCTACACACACTACTGATAAATGATAATAAACATACATACGTACACATATATCCCTCAACGGTATCTTTCAAGATGGCGGATCGTATCTTATATTATGTTTAAACCATTGCGGCTGTATTTCACCGGGAGAAATAATTTACTTAACAGGGGATATACGTAACAGTATATAGATGAAACAAATATACAAAAATACTTAATATATTAATATGTATGATAAATATTTAATAAAACAATTATGATGATGTTAGAAAATGGTCGTATTAAACTTCGTTAAAGTTATCGCCGCAATTTTTTATATGATTGCTGATTGTCCCAAGTTTAAGTAAAAGTTTTAACAAATAATTTCAAATTAAAAATTTCGATAATCTCCGACTTCAATATAAGTTATTAAGAATAACTCAAAAACTATTGGTCTCACCTTGATCAAATTCATATGGGACCACACGAGAAGTACCAGCTTTCAAATAAAAAAAGAATCATCGAAATCCGTTCAACCACTAAAAAGTTATGAGGTAACACACATAAAAAAAAAACATACAGTCGACTTGAGTACCGTCTCCTTTTTGGAAGTCGGCAGAAAAGAGTATGCAACTGCGTTACTTGCTAAACATGCGTATAATGTGAGTAATAGGATATTAAGTTTGTGATTGTGTAGGCGATAGGCTAGCAATTTATTAGTTTTTTTACAATTTTTCATTCATACCCATATTTTTTTTATACGTGGTCTGAGTAGCTGGCATCTTTGGAGTATGCCTACTCGCTCGGGGAACATGATTATTTTCTGCTTAAATATGTATTTACTGGTGGAATGTCTTATCAGGTAGGCCATTCTAAAAGCGAGCATTCCAAGTTAATAAATTTATAATACTTATCAATAGGTACCTAAGGAATGTTAACATTCGTAAAATAACGGGATTGGTACTGACTCCAATTATACAGTAATATCCTCTTCGTATTAGCATATGTGTAATAAAAACTAATAGTGAGTGAACTCGGCGATTAGAAGGAGCAACGATAGGCCACGGTATGAAGCAGAGCGGAGTCCCCCTTCCCTGCCCGCGACGTCTGTGGTAGTACCAGTCGGCTTCGCTTGCGTACCGGTACGCACGTTTAGGAGTGTCAGGTACACGGAATCAGTTGCACGCGTTCAGTGTTCACCTAACGACATGATATTACTCGGTATTATTTTGAAATATTGGGAAAATATTGTATGACGCCTTAAGTAAAATTGAATTCTAATAAGCATGTGATTGCTTTCCAGCACGATTTTTAATTGAATTATATGTAAGGATGAGAATTAATTAGGTTCAATTCAACAAAAGACAATTAAAAAAACCAATAATAAATATCGTAAATATTTGTCGGTTGCACATCTATAACGAGGCGGTTGAATAAACAAAATCAACGTATAATTTTAACCTGGTTTATTTTTTCTGTCCAACCCAATATTTTAAGCGGAACACCTGAGATACTGTTACGTAGGTAAAATATAGTAAAATTAAGTAGGCATCTACCAGGACAAGGCTTTGTTTCCATCACGACGAATCAGGTGAAGCTGCGGAGCGCAACTAGTTTTGTAAAGTACTAATTAGTTTGTATTTTTGTACAGAAAAATAAATTATTACGAGTAATACAGATAAAATATAATGTTATGATATTATTATCTACAGAAATAATTTTGTGACAACACTTGCCTATTTTTAGCGACTAGACGTCGAGACAGCCTTGTAGGTATTTTGCGGTATAACAAAGGTGTTGACCCACTATTAGTATTTATTACACATATGGTATTAGTTGGCAACCCTATGAGTGACACCAGTGCGTTCATGCGTGTTGTATGTGGTGTGTGTCGTGGTTTACCTGTCACCATTGCGCACGTTGTCAGCGTGCGCAGAGGTGGGCGAGGAGGGCCCGGTCGACGACACGCCACTCGTGAGTTCGCCCGACGACGACATTAGTGACGACGGTCCACTCCAGCCTGTGCCTGTAGTGTCGTACACATGCGTTTTAATGCCCGAATTTCGGTCTCGGCGGCTAGTCCCAACGGAGATTAGCCATCTGCGTACATAGGTACATTCTCTATTCTCTCACTCGAAATGACTGGAACGGTAATTCGGCACAACTCGAGAGATCAGGCGCAGGACCAACGGACTTACGTTCTTTCCGAGGTACGGGGGCGAAACTCTGCCAACTTCCTGAATCCGGGCTGGTATTGAGAATTTATGTACAAAAAAATCCAAAAACATATTTTGATCTCGTGATCAGCAGTTGCGCTGACGTAAAGTCGTTGGTGCTGCGGCTGATCTCTCTTCGGCTTCCGACATTATTTTCATTATTATTATACTAGTATATAATAGTAGGTACTGTTGGTGGGCGAGTGGCGCTTGGCGGCAGGCGGGGGCGGCGGCGGGGGCGGGGGCGGGTGCGGCGGCGTGCCGAGCTGCGCGGGCGCGGCCGTCACGCGCTCCAGGAACGCGTCCAGCTGGCGCAGCGACAGCGCGTTGTGCAGCGTCTCCAGCGGCCGGATCGCCGGCACGCCGCCGAAACCTTCCAGCGCCGCTGCGAACAGAAATAAGCGCTTTATTCGTCATATTTTTTGCAGAGGAACTTTTTTTGCGCCCTTTGAGCGACATGCGCCATGTCCGGTTGTAATTTCAGCTAACAGTTAATATAAATATTAATACGTTAGGTATTTTCTAATGTGTTTATATTGTTACAACAGCCAGTTAGTTGCGTGTTGCTTCACGTTGCATGAGAATATTCCCGAAGACAAGAGTCAATGTCCTCCGTGAATGTGTTTCCTTCTGTGGACATATTGTTAATCGCGAGAGTTCTAGTACTTTTCCATTAAAAGAGCGAAATGTTTGAATGACACGACGCATGTAACAATCTATAATTATAATCTCAACAAAAATATTAAAACCTACCTGCATTTTCTTCATTCATTACAACCTATCAAAATCCACCGCAGGCCTTTGATAGATTGTCAGCAGGGGCACAGGGGACATGACCCCCCCCCCCCCCTCAAAATCATACACGTCAAATTGAAAAATCTTCTAAAATTTACTGAGAATCTTCGCGATAATTACTTATCAAAGAAATGACGAGGAATATTTTCGGAGGACAATTTATATTCCACTGATAGATAGTATAAAGGCTAACCTGCAGAACCGACTTTCTGTGGGTACGATGAGCCTGTTCGGATTAGGCATTTTGATGCCAAAATCTGAATATACAGAAAAAGATCTTCTTAATGTGAGGAAATTATCACAATGTTATTCCCATTTCTTGAGTGTCCTGCTGCCACTCTCGTTACAGACTCCGTATCAGCTATGGATTTCATAGTGGAAACGGGTGCTCAAAGAAAATACTGATACAAAATTTTCGAATTTCGACATTTCGAATAACGTGCAGTTTCGTGGTCACTTGGGAGGGAAGGCTGAATTGGCCTCTTGCTTGGCGTGCTCAACAGAGTGCGACAGCATTTCATGGCGGCAGATTGCTTGTAACTTGACAGGGGGTAAGTTCGGCCTAACATGGAATACTGTTCCCATCCCTGGGCGGGGGCTCCTTAGTACCAGCTCCTTCTAATTGACCGCATCCAGTGCAGAGCGGCTCGAATCATCGACGACGAAGACGAGACGAAGAGATGTTGCGTCCCTTTGCATTTTCTATCGCATTTACTACTGGGAGTGTTCAGCGGAATTATTCGGATTAATTCCAGCCACAAAATTTCATCACCACTACTGTCGAACCGATACGACTTAGGAAGTTTCAAGAAACCAGCTTACTCCTTTTTAAAAAGCCGGCAACGTGCCAGCAATACTCCTGGTGTTGTATTTGTTAATAGGCGGTGGTCGACACTTGCCATCAGGTGAGCCGCATGCTCGTTTTTTCCACTCTTCTATATATAAAATACAATAAAACGGAGTAGACAAGTATTTTTAACAATATTATATTTATGTTATGGAAGTGGGAGTAATTTTTGTGATGTCAGTTGGAGCCGTTCGCGATCAGGGCCAAAAAGTTAAAACTCAAAAATTCTTTATACAACTAGGATAGTACATAATTTTTCGAACGTCGTCCTTGGAGACTGAAGGGCCCTTTTAGCTTGGAGGCCCCGGGGCACTGCCCCGCCTAGCCCCTGATTTCTATTTGTTTCATAATGTGTGCAATAAACTTGTGTATTGTGCAATAAAGTTTAATTTACATTACATATTTTATTATTAGTGACCCCCTCCAAAATTTCAGTCTGCGACCGCGCCTGGTTGTCAGTTCAACTTTTATGCAAATAAGAAACAAGTATTTAGATAAAAGTACTTTGTAAGTCTGTCATTTTTGTTGTTTTAAGGATCATAATATAGACTATTGACACAGCCACGGCAAAAATTTAATAATAAATAATTGTTCAGAACTCAAAAATCCAACGCAACAGCCCAGTGACCACATTACGAAAACTCACGCACATTAACAGTTGTTGCTGAGTAAACTTAGCATATAACGTAAATTTATATTAAATTGTAATGTATTGTAAATAAAATTCTCTTTCAACGTTGGACTACGACTTCGTTATTATCGCCGAGACTCCTGGTAAGGTTTCCCTCTCACAGCGACCTAAACACCTTTAGCAGTCAGAACCCCTGATCAGTCTTGTGAGTATGCTTGACTGACAGTGAGAGAACCCAATCACCTAACCCTAACATCCTGTTACTGTCCATTTGTTACCTTTGGTCTCATGATGCAGACATCCAGCACTTATTTAATTTATGTATGTATATTTATAAGGTAGGGTTAGAGTATTAGGAACTGCTACGTAAAGGGAACATAATTAGGATTTGCAGGGTCTAATACTCCTACCATATTCATGTGCAGCCAGGTAGTTGAGCTATTAATGGGAAAGCGGGTTAGTACTTAAACCAATAGCTACCTGACTGAACATAATACTTTAGCCGTCGTACCGAGGGTGTTTCACCCTAAGTATATAAAACGGCTGTCGTATATTAAAAATATAAAATTGTGTAGAAACTTACTGTTGTTGGCGGCGGTGGCAGGGATCATGATGCGCAAGTTCGGCGCCGAACTGGAGCCGGAGATGACGGCGGTGCTGAAGAGTCCCGCGGCGCCGGTGAGTTTCCCGCGGCCGCCCAGCCCCAACATCTTGAGGTAGCTCATCTGGCCGGCGATGCTGTGCCGCTGGCGCCGCCCTACGCCCCACACGCTACAGTCCGGCCACGAGCCGGCGCGCGCCGGGCCGGGCCGGTTAGTGGGGACGGGGCTCCGGCCGCCGCCCGGGTTAGTGCCGGCGGTTAGTGCGGAGCGCGCCCCGCCCGCCGGACTCCGCGCCGGGCTCGGGCGGGCCGCGCTCCCGGGCGGCGCCGGTACGCTCAGTGTAGGCGGAACGGACGGGAGGGAGCGCGCCACTTTGTTAGTACGTTACGATACGAATGGGGGGACCGGTGTTACGTGACAAAGATGCGAGCGGAGTGTCGTTAGATAGGTGGTGATAGAAATAGAGAAAACTAATTAGTATAATATAAAATATAATAAACTTAAATAAATAGGTTAAATAAATAGATATTTAGATACATTGTGCGCCCAAGCGTGCTTCAATTTAAACAGAATCTCTAAAGTTTATAATACCCATGACCCAACTTATGTGGCGTCTGACGACTGTCCGTTAGCCGCGCAAAACACAGGCTTCGATATTACTTCGTTTCTTCTGCGTTCACTTGCGTAAAATGTGATCGAAGAAGAAATGTCAGAATTGAAATCCCTGTTTTTCACGTGGCGCTATGTGATTACTTGACACAACATGCAGTAGTGAAACAGTAGTCAAACGCACACATAGTCATGAGGCGGCAAGAGGACACACAACACACAACATCGCCGGCCAGAATGAGCTGCCAAGCGGCACTGACGACCAACCACACTACACTCTCCAAAATAACACGTCAAAATATTGGTAACAGTCACTTCTTATGAAAAACTAGCTTGCAGACTCCTTGTATCAAAAATTTCACAGGTTAGTAATATTTCATAATATATTTGAAGCGTGTGATACAAAAAGTCGTACATTTTAATATAAAATGAAATCATAACATTTTCAAAGCAATAAATGTCTATGAATGTTATGAGTAAGATAAAAAACATGATGTGTTGATTTACTCTGAGGAAAGAATTTTAATGAAAACTTACTTTATGTCAGGTTATCTGAGAATGAAAGGCGATCTAAAACTTTCACCCACGCTTAGGCATGCACAGGCAGTAACATAGGCCTTAGCTTCTCTGTTTGAGCTGGATATTTAAAATGCAATTTTATATTTTACAAATCGGTCATTTTTTTAATCTACCTATTTTTCAGTGATATTTATTTTACTATAATAAATTATTTAATGCAAATTGTTGAATGTATAAGCGATATGTGAAACGCAAGCCCAACTGCCATTATTTACTTTTACCATTATATATAATAGCTACGTTGAGGCTATCTATAGATAGCCTCAACGTATTTTGACAAAATTTATTTCTCATTTAAGCTTTTAATGGTCCCAATGTTCGTTAGTTTTACTTTAATATTCTTGTATAATTTAAAAGTAAGTTTAAAAGATTTCATTTAATGTATAATGGAGTTTTTTTTATAATACAATATAATTAATATTCATTATTATTATTATACATATTATTTTTTCGGTGGAAACAATGTGCCTATACGAGGGTGACACTGAAAGTTCTTAGAAAATCAAAAACTGAACAAACTAACAAGTTATTAGTTAGTTATTTTTTCAAAGAAGCGAAAGAGGTATGTAAGGATCGTGACACTTGGAGATCTGTTCTCTCTGGCTACCCCGTCAGGGATTGTGCGTGAAGATAAGTAAAGTAAGTTTCAAAATAGTGTCCATTTACATCAATACACCGCTGCATCCGATGGAACCACTGAAAAAAGCACTTTGCGCACTCGTCCTTAGGGGTCTCATCGACGACATTTTGAAACGCAGCCACTGCTTCGTCAGCGTCCATAAAACGTTATCCTCGAAGTTTTTCTTTTATTTACGGAAATAAATAAAAATCGCAAGGTGCTAGGTCGGGGCTATAGGGCGGGTGACTCAGTAATTCCACGTCTGACGTCACCAACTAGTCGATTGTTTCCTTGGCGGTGTGCGACGAGGCGTCGTCGTCGTGAAGGAGGATCATACTGCGAGGTCGTTTCTTCCGAACTTTTTCCAAGGCAAGTGGCAAACAATTGTTAGTGTACTACTGTGTAGTAACTGTTTTTCGATCCTTTAAAACAATAATTGCGTACTGACCTGTTCTTCCGAAGAACGAGGCCACCATCTTTTTTCCCACGCTTCGACCTGTCTTAACTTTAGTTCGCAACTCCTCGTAAAGAAACACCCAGACAGAAGACTGTCTCATAGTTTCAGGATCATAACAATAAATCCAGCTTTCGTCACCCATAAGTATGTCCAACACAGCATTTGAGTCACCTCCGTTAAATCTTTGAACCATTTCACGACACCAATCAAAACGACCGAGTTTTTGGGCCTCTGTCAAACTATGAGGTATCCACCGGGAATAAAGCTTCCTGACCGCTAAATGTTCATGGAGGATTTTGTGCACCTGACTCATACCGATGCCTAAGCTTGTCCGAATCTGCTGATAAATCACTCTTTTGTCAGTCTCTATCATACGCCGCACAATACTGATGTTATCTTCAGTCGTCACCGTAAAAGGTCGTCCCTCACGCAGATCATCGGTGAGATTAGTGCGATCACGTTTAAACTCATTAAACCAGTTGTGAACAGTGGCACGAGATGAGGCTTCATCGTGAAAGGCCAATCGAAGTCTATCATAACTTTCTTGTTGACTTAAATGACATTGAAAGTCATAAATATCATTGTACGAAAATTTTCTCGCGTTAAATTCATGCTGACGTGACACAGACAATTTTCAATTTGTCGCCAAATCGTAAACAAATGATAAAGTAATAAAATACATACACAATAATATTGGCAAAGAGTTCCACTTTCAAAATTTGAACTTATTTTTTTATTATATCGTTTACAAGTGGCCAGTTCTAAAAACTTTCAGTGTCGCCCTCGTATGTGTGCTGGAAATGAAACTTCATTTATTATTTTACAATGTCGGTCTTAGTTAGTAGTAGTAGAGTTTGGCTCTTTATGGTAAATGTGGTTTTATATGTTCTATTTTAAACTAGCTGTACCCGCGCGACTTCGCCCTTGACGAATATATTAAAGTATTTTTTTGCGCGGAACCCTTTTTATCTAAAATAAAAGCAGCCGAAGTTACTCCTTATAACATTAGCTATTTACCAGTGAAAGTCCCGTCAAAATCAGTCCAGCCGTTTCAAAGATTAGCCAGAACAAACAGACAGACAGACAAATAAAAACGTGTGTGTGTACTTATGTTCACGTAAGAAGTTATACTTCTTTAGCGTAACAAAACCAAAATTAACTAAAATAAAGCATGTTTTATAGATTCATATATATTTGAATAAATACATTGAATATAGTTATCAGTTCTCACGAAAACTTGACAGTAGACAGACCATTACCAACTGAAGTTGTCGCTTTTAGGTGTCGGTGTGCGCGCGCATCGTAAAAAAATCACTCTCATCATTTTTCTCAAACGCGCCAAAAGAAGTATCATTTCAAAATTTTACAAGTTGTATTTTTGTTATAAGTGTCGTATAAACTTTCATATGCATTTAGTTAAAAGCTGTTATTTTGACATTACAAACAGACACTTCAATTTTATTTATTTGTATAGATGTCCGCCTTTTGTTCCCTTTTCGAAATGCAATGAGATTAAAAATAAATAAATAAATATCCTACAAAGGAATAAATACTTGATACATTTTTTTTGATTATGATTATATTCAATTTTTTCTCAATTATGAGGTCCATTACACAATTACAACTTTGTGTCTTGTGGTGTGGCGTAAGAGATAATTCCCATTTCATCGTGTGGTCTGGGTGTCGTAATTGGCGACTACAAGAAATTCCAGAGGAATCTTATGTCTTTCGAAAGATTGCTGCACCATATCGTTTACGCCAGATGTAAAACATTTGGACCAGAGACGGATAGCAGCGTCAAAGGTGCGAGACATCTGGCAGTGTAATGATTAATCCGCCTAACAAGCGTGATAATTAAGGTAATTTCTTCCTACACCGGGAGGCCTATATTGAGATTTTATAATATTTTTCATATAGCATACGGGTGACGTCTGAGATTTGAAGTTTCTATAAATGTAGTAATTTTTAATGATGAAATAGACGATTTATTATTAATTAATTGATTATGATTGACAATAATGTTATCTCATTGACGTTGGCAGTGGTATTTGCGTTAATTGTTCTCGGAACGCCTATTGGGTCTTCGTCGTCTTCCCCTAGTAGTTGTAAGTAAGCCCCTCCCTTTATTGTAGGTAGTCTCTCATCGCAAGTTTTTCTTCCCTCTTTCTATAGTACGAGACGAAATGATAAAATATTTTTCACCGTCACTAAAAACCCGATCGGATTTGACATTCTTTAAATAATAACCGCCTTATCTTACCTATTCTTCTTTAAGTAAAGTCGGTCTGCTTTAAAAATTAATCTACGTTTCGAATTGAAGTAAGACAACGCAAAACCAATTTTATCGTATACAATAAAGTATAAGTACATATATATATATATATATATATATATATATATATATATATATATATATATATATATATATATATATATATACAATGCGATTCAAATAAGAATAGGAACGTCCAATGCCCTCTAAGGACCGTGATCTGTCAATTGACACTTGAAAAGTAGGGCTTGCAAATAAAATTAACTTACGTATTAATAACGGTTTTTTTTCGCTTTATTTTACTGAGTCTTAGTATTACTAAATTTATTGAACTAATAATTATTTAAAAAAAATAATTTTAATATTTATACTAGTCGGTGGAATATTTTAAATCTGTTTGTTCCGGCTAATCTCCGAAACGGCTGGACCGATTTGGATGTGACTTGCACTGGCAGATAGCTGATGTCATAAGGAGTAACTTAGGCTACTTTTATTTTAGAAAAAGAATTAAGGTTCCTCGAAAAATTAATCAAAACCCTAAATTACACGCGGACGAAGTTAATAAATCCATGTTCTATTTTTATAAGGGAAAGCAGCAGTGATGATTATGATGATAATGATGACTACTCAAACAGTGATGCAGAAATGAGCAAAATTGAAATGCTAGATTCAGATTAATACTTTTTCGTTCAACGTTCTTTTGTAAATAAATATTATTTCAAAAATGTCTGTTTTGTTTACCCTACCTGTTTTGATTTGACAGCTATACCGTCACAATATGGGGCCAGGTCAGTCATATTCTTATTTGAATCACACAGTAATAAATAAAAGTTTGACGATTGAGAGTGCATTAATAGACAAAGGGTAAAGGACACCGGGTAAGTAATCTCGGAACCGAATCACGTTAAGCATAAACTACGTAGTTCGATTTTATTGTAGTCTCTCACAGAAGTCGAGAACTCATAAACCACACGTCAGGGCGATGACAGGGCAACGCGACGGCGGGCGGCGAGAATATTTTACTCTCGAATATTTCCAGGCTGTTTTATGCTTATATTTTAAACACATAAAGTACTTGTAAGATTGAACATTTATGTTAATTGGAGTGTCGACTGTCGAATCTAACGCCATTTACTGCAATTTACGCCTCAAGAAAGCGGTCAGACAATTAGTTGCAATGAAGTTAATCGCCTAAAAACTAAAAATGGTTAACTAAAACAAAATGGTACTACACAGGCACTAAGAAAGAATGGTTTACAAAGGTGATTTCTAATAGTTTCAGAGTACTAAAGATTACAAAATAGAATGAACACCCCACTAACATCTGTTTAAATCATTCCATTGTAAATAATTTTAGCGTCATCATTTATGCAATCGGAATTTGGTAAGACTTAACAGTTACTATGATAGTTAAATTTTTGTTATTCAATCTACCTTTGTATTAACAACAAGTTTATAATATAAAGAATCTTAATCTAGTACATAACATTTTTTTTATAAATAGTTATTTAAAAAACAAAGTTTACTTTGCTAATTAGAAACAGTGCAAATGCCATTGGGACCTAAGTGTCAGATTCTATTTCATTTTAATTTTTTTGATTTACATTGATAATTAACATTTTGAACTGACAGCGAGCTGTTAGTAACAAAAGAAAATAACATACAATCACACCTGGGGTTGTTCTGTCGCAGATAGACTTACCGTTATCGTTTGATTGTTTGTGCTGATCATAACTGCGCGCTAGCGGCTGCGATTCCTCGGATGATTTACATTCCTTTTCTTCGCTCTAAAAATAATACGTAATTTACAGGAAAAAATAATATGTAGTTCACAGGAACTTCTATTCAAGAACTCTATAAACCTGTATATACTATATAAAGGTTTTATTCATATACTAAGGTACGTGAGGATAATATGGTCACCTTAAGCTGTGCCGCCCTATAAAACAAAAATTAGGAGGAGGACAGAGCCAAAAACACAATGTCGTATACTATAAGTAATATATTAACAAAAAAAAATAGCAAACAAGCTTTGGAAATAGTAAGGACCACTACGAAAAATCAACTTAAAAAAACTAAGTACGCTACACAATACTAAAATCGACAAAAATATTTACCATAATGTTAACTGTCATAATGACGTCCATAAAGCGGGGCCCTTTTGACCCTTAATTATTTGATTGACTGGTGAAGAGCTATGGTATCACAGAGTCATCTATCCAAACAAGGCCTTAGTTTTGGAGTTATAAGAGAGTGACCATATTAACCGAATGATCATATTACCCTCACGTACTATATATGTTATATACTAAATAGAAAAGACCGTGAGACCAGTGAAAGTAAGTAAACTCGCTTATCTTTATAGTTGTGCTACGACAGTAAGCGTTAATTATATATTTCATTGATTTTTTTTTCTGTTACTAAATTTATTATTTAATTACTATTGCTGTGTTAATGAGAAGTTTTATTTGAAGATTAGTGCAGGTGTAATTAACATTTGGGCAACAGTTTAATAAATTTATATTTTTTCCTGCTTGAAATGCGTTCGAAATTATAAACGTGTTTTAGTTTTTTGTTATACATTCGTTATCATATGTTTTTTCTTTTAAAAAAACGTTACCTTCTCACGAGGAGTTAACGTTTAACGTTTCTCGTTTTCTGTTTGAGTTTGATAAGTCAGTTCTATGATAAATGAGACAGATTCACAAGCGGATTTTAAAGAAACTAGTTTATCTAATACAGGTGACGACAGTAAGTAAGCCATCTGTCTTGTATTATTATTTGTTTCGCTAATTGTATACGCAATACGTGTAGCGCCAGTGCGGTATCTCACTATGAGTATACAGTGGAGGAGAAAGAGATCGAGACGAGAGAAAGAGATGACGACAGAGAGAACCGGAAAGACCCATTTAATGTAAAGGAGATATTTCATCTTAGTCCTCAGGAGTGATAACGCTGCATTTGGATTTTTAATTGAGGATGTAGATGTGTATGGATAACAGTACCCTCTTACCATTAGGTGGACTGTGTGCTCGTTTGTCACGCACGTTATTTTATAAAAAATATTGCCTCCCAATGAGTGCTAATATTCTTACGCTGACCGTATGCCGCTAGTTGTGACCAAGGTGAACATCATCATTGCAGAGTTGCATTTTAATGAAATGTTTTTTAATTTGTGTTTAGGCAAGAATATTTATTTTTATTATTTACCTTCGAAACGTATTCTAACGCGCGCGCTTGGCCTCGATATCGAGGTCACCTCCCCCTCCCCCCGGCCGCCTGACGCGGCGGGATAGGACTTTTCGCGAATTAGTGTAGAATTTCTTGCGAGCTAGACTGACGTTTTTTCCGCTCCTAACTTGTTGAGAAAGTATCAACCCGCGTAAATCGCTGTGAGAACCGAATCGTTCATCAGGAACTACTAACTCCGTTAAATTCATTGTGCAATCATAATAGTGATTTACCTCTGAAGTACTACGTGTAGCTGTCCCATTTCGTGACAACCCAGGAAGAGTGCCTCCAGAGGGGGAAAGTTCCGAAGATACCAGCGCATACCTTCTTCCGGACGGCATTGCGTCATCCAGATCAGGGCCCGTTAACATACACGCACATACAATTACACATACACTCACGACACTGTCATCAGCCGGGCCGGTCTCGGAGGATCGTCTCCGCTCCTGGAGCAGGTGAGTGCCTTATTGTATTGACATTTCCCCTCTTTGTTTCCATCAGAAATTTCCACGTGGCCACATTGAGCCCGACCTACGTCTGCTCGGGAAGTCTTCAGCTCATGGGCCCATGAGGATCTGATCCTTTAAGGGAGCAGCCGTAGGCCGTAACAAACTGGTAGCAGAGCGTGGTTCCGGGTTCGATTCCCGGTCGATCCCGACCATAGTGTTGATAAACATTAAACAATTCTGGTGGCAGGGAGCGTTGGTTTGATTGGTTTAATTTGTATCTACAATCACGCCCGTCCGTAATACGTAAAAATATTTTTTTGTACGTAATAATAGAATTATTTCCCTTTGTTGTTTGTTGCTTGCCTTTTTTTGGTTAGTAGGTAGTTTGAAAAACCGCGCCCTAGGTTGCGCAAGCGGGAGTTTTTCTAGAGATATACGTCATGTAGGTAGATGGTTATTTTTACGTAATCGGTTAATTATCGTTGTCGGATAGTTGTAGTGGATTACTTATCGATTTCTGAATTTCGAAGTATCTTCGTTTATACAGTAATTTGTAATTGAACTAAAGAGTAGTAATTGTATTTGCGCAATTTGAATTTAACTTGATTTGACCGTACTAGGGTTGTTACGTGCTAATTTGATTTGTGTTTTTTCGTATTTACTTGTAGTTTGATTGATATTATCGTATTAGTAGTACTGTATTCGTTATTTCTTTTATTTTGTTATTAGTATTCGTTATTGTATTGTATTTAGTATGCCGTCACATAAGCTACTAATTCGTTGCTTGCGGACTGAGCTGCGCTGGGCCACCAGCGCACACGCATTGATAGACCGACCGGACAGGGTCTATAATCTGAGGAAGAGGCTCGAGCAGGTCAATGCTCGAAGGGCTGCCGTGGAGGAGGCTTACTCTGAGCTCGAGGACTCGGAGGTGGAAAAGGGAGTCCTGGACTCCTGCCGCGCGGACTACGAGCAGTTCCTCGCGCTAACGGACGACCTGATCGAGGCGGGGGCCAAGGACGCGGAGAGGGAGCGCGAAGCTCGGCTGAGTAGCCTTCTCGAGTCCCCGCGGAAGCCGCCTACTCAACCAGAGCTGCTAGGACGACTCCCCACGCTGGACCTGCCGAGGTTCTCCGGGGTCCTCTCGGAGTGGCTGACCTTCGTCGGCATGTTTGACAGCCTGGTGGACGCCCGGAGGGACCTGACCCCCTGCCAAAAAATGGGGTACCTCCTGGCATCACTGGAGGGGGAGGCCCGGGGCGTCGTCGGCCACCTTAAGTTGTCGGACGACGCCTACCAAAACGCCAGAGACCTCCTCGCTGGAAGGTACGCCAACGTCCGGCGGATTACGGACGATCATGTTCGGAGGCTGCTGAACCTCCCGCTGCTGAAGGACCGGACTAGACTACGTGAAGACATAGTGAATCCAGTCGTCGTAGCGTGCAACTCGTTGCGGCGGCTGGATTTACCTGTGGACGAGTGGTCTTTTCTGCTCCTTCATATAGTGCTGTCCCGCCTGCCCCTCGACCTTCGGCTCCATTTTGAGGAGAGGTACGGAGGGGATGGCGCTTCGTACATGCCCCCCTTTAGGGACCTGCTGCGGTTCCTGGAGGAGCAGTGTAGGCAGCTGGAGAACGCAGCAGGCGCCGTCGAGGGCTCCCCGGCCGCCTCCCGAGCGGTGCCCAGGGAGAGGCGGAATCAGCCGGCCAAGGCGGCGCCCACCCCCCTGAGGCCGAGCGGAGCCCCCGCGGGAGGGCGCCCCCCAGTACCCTCCTATAGTGGCCTAGCGACCCGGGAGGCGCCTCCCTGCTCCTATTGTCGAGCATCCGACCACCGGGCGGCGTCGTGCCCGAAGTTGTTGCGCAAGCCGACTACGGCGAGGCGAACCATCGCCAGGGAGCGCCACTGGTGCTTCTCATGCCTGGAGAGGCATTTACAACGAGACTGCCCGCACCAGCGGCCCTGCACGCACTGCCAGGGTAACCACCACGTCATATTGTGCCTGGGTGCGCGCGGCTCGTCCTCTCAAGGCCCTGACAGCCCCCCGACTCCCACGGGCGGGGGCGCCCAGCCACGCCCACTGTCGGGCAACGCCCGGCGCTCACCGGTGGAGCACAGCGCCCCTCGTTCTGAGGGGAGTCCCTCCCCCGATCGGTCTGGGAGTCGTTCCCCCAGGGGCGGGGGGTCTTCACCCCCCCTCAGCGAGTTGATAGTGGATTCGCAGCCACTCAGCGGTCAGCTAGACCGTTCTCACCCCCGTTGGCTGAGTGGCCGCGACTGGAACGCCGCCCGCCCCCCTTTGGTCGGTGTCGGTACTACCGGCTTCCGGAGACTGCTTATCGGCCCCGGACCTTGGAGCCGAGGATCCCCGAATTTCCCCAGGTCGGCCCGTTCGGGGAATTCCAGTCAAGGGTCATCGAGACGCCGTCGGAGTGCCGCTCTCGGGGGCCCCGGTTCGGGTGCCGGTCCAACAGAGGCAGCTCCAGATAGGAGGCTGCCGCCCTAGCTCCCGCCATGGCCGCCTCCACTGAGCCTATAAGTCGTCAGCAGTCCACCTGTCAAACTGTTCTATTGCCGACGGCCTCAGTGAAGGTTTACAACCCGAGCGGCGACCGCTTAACGGTTCGAGCTCTATTGGATTCGGGTTCCCAACGTAGTGTGGCCTCTACTCGGTTGGTGGGAAGACTGGGGCTCCCCTGGAGCTCGGAATCACGTCCGATGGTAGGTATCGGAGGTGCCGAGCCTCCTGCTCCTAGGGGACAAGCGGAGTTGGTGTTCAGCCCTGACAGCGAACACCTTCGTATTTTAGTCAAGGTAAATGTCCTCGACGACATTGTAGGGTTCCTCCCTAACGTTCGTATAAATGACAGCGCTGTGCGCTGTGCGTCGGCTTTGAGACCGGCAGACCCTCGGTGGGCCCAACCTGGGCCTATAGATTTGTTACTGGGGGCCGACACGCTGGGTGTCCTCTTGTTAGGTGAGATACGAGCTCTGCAGCCCGATGGCCTGTCAGCCATTTCCACGATATTTGGGCACAGCTTTTTTGAACCGGTTATGTGGTCTCCTCCCCCTCCGACGGCCGACCCGCTCTCCGTCGTGGGCGTGTCTCTATCGGACGCCGTCCAGCGGTTCTGGGAAATTGAGGAACCACCACATGCAGCTCGAGTCAACCCTCTGGACCGTGAGTGTGAGTTGTTCTACCAGAACAATACCGGCCGGCGGGTTGACGGTCGTTTCGTCACTCGCTTACCCTTTCTGGACTCACGCCCCTCTTTGGGTCAATCTCGTGCTCTGGCCGAGAAGAGGTTGCTTTCCATGGAGCGCCGCATGCGGCGCGACCCAGCCTTTCGCGACAAATATGTCGAGTTCATGCGCGAGTATCAGGCGCTGGGTCACATGTCACCGTCCAACTTCGAATGGCGTTCACAGGAGCACTACTTCCTCCCTCACCATGCAGTCTTGAGGACCCCTGAGAGTAAGATTCGGGTAGTTTTTGACGGTTCCGCCCCCACATCAAACGGTGTGTCTCTGAACCAGTGTCTTCACTCGGGTCCTAAACTGATCAAGGACATATCCGACATCTTGACCCAATTCCGTCGACACCAAGTGGTTTTTGTCGCGGACATTCGGATGATGTTTCGCCAATCAGTGGTCCATCGTGATGACCGCCGATATCAGCTGATATTGCGGCGCGAGAAGCCCAGCGATCCTATACAGGTATTTGAGCTGAACACCACCACATATGGACTCCGGTCCAGCCCGTATATCGCCATGCGAACCCTCCTTGAACTCGCGGAGAGAGAGCGCCTGAGATACGCTCGGGGAGCTTCTATTTTGGAGACTTCGGTCTACATGGACGACATTTGTACGGGCGCTTCCACCGTCGAGGAGGCTCTGGTCTTGCGAGACGAATTAATTGCCATCCTGAAGTCTGGAGGCTATGAGTTGCGCAAGTGGTTGTCGAACTCCCCTCATATTTTGAAGGACCTCCCAGGAGAGGATCAGCAAGACCCTCATCTGTTCGAGCACCCTGAGAATCCTAATTTGTTGACTGTGCTGGGCATTCAATATCAGCCTGTTCAGGATACCTTTACGTATAGAGTAAAACTTGACCCACCGTCCAAAGCATGGACCAAACGCTTCGTGCTGTCCACCGTAGCCCGCACCTTCGACCCTAATGGGTGGATCACCCCGGTCATCTTTTTAGCTAAGTGCTTTCTTCAAAAGCTCTGGATGTCCGGGTTGGGTTGGGACGAGCCGATTGGCAGAGCCCTCTTGCGAGAGTGGCTCTCCATGCTCTCCTCCCTTCCGGATATCAACCGGGTTTCCATGCCAAGGTGCTTCCTTCCCCCCGGGAAATGTCGGGCTACCCTACTTGGGTTTTGCGACGCCTCTGAGAAGGGCTATGCTGCTGTCGTATATTTGCGGACGGTGAGTTCCTCTGGTCATACTGCCGCCCATCTCGTACTCGCTAAAAGCAAGGTTGCTCCTATTAGGTCCCGCTTAACTATCCCTAAATTGGAACTGTCCGGTGCCGCTCTCCTCACGCGACTCCTCAACCACGTTCACTCTTCCTTGAAGCCTGTAATCGACATTACGGGCGTCTACGCATGGTCGGACAGTGAGATCGTACTTTGTTGGCTCCGAGCTGCACCTCACAATCTCGAGGTCTTTGTGGCGAACCGCGTTTCTCAAATCCAGAGTTCTGAGACTTCTCTCAACTGGCGACATGTCCCAGGGGAGTTGAATCCCGCGGACTGCGCTTCTCGCGGCTGTGAGGCCCCATCGCTGGTTGACCACCCACTGTGGTGGGGTCCCGATTGGTTATCTGGGTCTCAGTCATTCTGGCCCCGGGGCAATTACTCCGAACCTACCGAATTGCCGGGCCTACGAGCCCGAGTCGGAGTGGGCAAGGATAAGCCTACTCGGGATCTCTCTCTTCTGGAACGGTACAGCTCCCTCGATAAGCTCTTGGGAGTTACTGCTTGGTTGCGCCGCTTTGTCCGCAATTCGAGATACCCATCCCACCGACTCTCTGATAGCGTTTTGTTCCCTAGCGAGCGCCGGGAAGCTTTGATGCACTGGACCCGTATGGTCCAAACGGAGCAATTTGAGCCCGTCATTGAAAACTTGAAGCGTGGCTCCGTTATCAAGGGCGCCCTGGCCCGCCTGAACCTCTTTCTGGATAACGTGGGGATGCTGCGCGTTGGCGGACGTTTGAAAAATTCTCAACTGCCGTACGGGGCTCGACACCCGTTGCTGCTCCCGAAGGACGGCGCCCTGGTCCGATTGCTGGTAGCCCACCACCATGTTAAGAATGCCCACGCTGGGTGCAACGCTCTTTCGGCTATTTTACAGCGGGAGTTTTGGATTTTGTCTGGCCGACGTCTCATCCGGAGCGTCATCTTTAATTGCATATCCTGTTATAAACTGAAGGCCACCATATCGCAGCCCCTCATGGGTGACTTGCCGCCCGACTGCGTCAGGGCCATCCGACCATTTGCTGGAGTCGGAACCGACTTTGCTGGCCCCTTCCTCGTTAAGTCCTCTAACATTCGTAACGCCCGTTCGCATAAAGGCCTATCTTTGCGTCTTCGTGTGCCTCTCCACTAAAGCCGTTCACTTGGAACTTGTAAGCGCCCTCAGCACGGAAGCCTTCTTGGCCACGCTTGGCCGTTTCGTATCGCGGCGCGGGTTGCCGGACTTGATCCGGTCGGATTGCGGAACGAATTATAAGGGCACGGATAGGTATCTAAAGGAGGTCGTCGAGTTTCTGTCTAGCCACCGTACCTATTTAGGCAATGCTATGTCAAAAAGGGGCATCCAGTGGAAATTCGACCCTCCGGCGTGTCCCCACTGGGGCGGTATTTTCGAGGCGGTGGTTAAAGTGGCAAAAACGCATCTCCGTCGCGTTATTGGTGAAGCTATTTTGACATTTGAGGAGCTCGCCACTGTATTCTGTAAAATTGAGGCGGTACTCAACTCTCGGCCCCTCTGTCCCCTCTCCTCCGACCCGAATGATTTGGAGGTTCTAACCCCGGGACACTTCCTGATTGGCCAGCCTCTTAACGCTCTGCCCGAGTATCCCTTCAGGGAAACGAGCGCTTCACGGCTTAGCAGGTTTGCCCTGCTGCAACAGATGACTCAAAGCTTTTGGCGCCGATGGTCCCTGGAGTACCTACATCTTTTGCACCAGCGCGTTAAGTGGTCTGACAGGACGGAGCCTCCTCGGGTGGGAGACCTCGTGTTGATTAAAGAACCAAGCGCTCTACCTTTGTATTGGCGCCGTGGGCGCATTGTTAAATTGTCGTATGGAGCGGATGGGGTGCCTAGGGTGGCCGAGGTTTTAGTCGGAGATTCGGTCTTGTAACGTGCCGTCGCGACCTTGTCCCGTTTGCCAATCTACTCGCGGACCTGATGCCTTATGTCCGGGGCGGGGGTTTGTTTAGGCAAGAATATTTATTTTTATTATTTACCTTCGAAACGTATTCTAACGCGCGCGCTTGGCCTCGATATCGAGGTCACCTCCCCCTCCCCCCGGCCGCCTGACGCGGCGGGATAGGACTTTTCGAGAATTAGTGTAGAATTTCTTGCGAGCTAGACTGACGTTTTTTCCGCTCCTTACTTGTTGAGAAAGTATCAACCCGCGTAAATCGCTGTGAGAACCGAATCGTTCATCAGAAACTACTAACTCCGTTAAATTCATTGTGTAATCATAATAGTGATTTACCTCTGAAGTACTACGTGTAGCTGTCCCATTTCGTGACAACCCAGGAAGAGTGCCTCCAGAGGGGGAAAGTTCCGAAGATACCAGCGCATACCTTCTTCCGGACGGCATTGCGTCATCCAGATCAGGGCCCGTTAACATACACGCACATACAATTACACATACACTCACGACACTGTCATCAGCCGGGCCGGTCTCGGAGGATCGTCTCCGCTCCTGGAGCAGGTGAGTGCCTTATTATATTGACATTTCCCCTCTTTGTTTCCATCAGAAATTTCCACGTGGCCACATTGAGCCCGACCTACGTCTGCTCGGGAAGTCTTCAGCTCATGGGCCCCTGAGGATCTGATCCTTTAAGGGAGCAGCCGTAGGCCGTAACAATTTGTATGTATATACATAAAACAATACATCAGTGCTGATTTCACATATTAATTCTTTTATACATTTTTAACTTTCTTTAATTTTTCTACACTTAGGAATATCCGTAGTTTGGTTTATCCGTTTGTAATATAACTAATATAAAATATAGCTAATATTTCAGAAAGAAACTTTAATCTCTACACTTTTCTAACAAATTAACCTCATTCCTAATTGATGCCGCTCTGGTGGCAGAAAAAGTGGTGTATCATTGGGAATGGCTGCAAATTGAAAGGCGTATTGGTGTGAGATGGCAGTGAGATGACCTGTGAGTGCGGGCGCGGGTCGGCGGGCTCGTGGCTGCGCGCGCGCAGCTCGGCGTTGAGGCGCGCCGCCAGCGCTGACGCCTCGTGCCCGCTCACCGTGTAGTGCAGGTTGCTGCAATCCGCCAATACGACTAACCACTCATATTTTTTTGCGTGGTAGAGCCATGCTGCAGCTATATTAGTAGTATAGTTGTAGCACGAATGGCTCGGCTCGACCGGGGAAGGACCGCGCTCTCACAGAATACCAACGTAAAATAGCAGCTTAACACTGCTGTGTTTCGTATGGTGAGTGTAGACAACCGGAGACCCTTTTTACTGGAAACGAGGCATTCTATCTTGGTCCTCACGGGTAACAACGCATCTGCAAACGAAGACAGATGTAGATATCTATGAACCACAGCAACCACTTACCATCAGGTGAGTAGTTTAATGGCTCTACCACGTATTAAAGAGAAGAACCATAGAAGGAGAGTAGCGTCAAAGCTTGTGAGGCGTTTTGAGTGGGACCATCATTCCGTCTAATACCCCCAGATCCTACTGTAGAGAAGGCCCACATTCAGTAATGAATTATTTACAAGCCAGTGAAAAAAATTTTGAAAAATTTATATTTTTTAAAATTATGTTTTACTACAAATACAACTACTTCACTTAAGTCCATGGTAAAGTTTCAATCTAAAAGATAAACGAAACAAATACATGGAATATTTTCCATAAGTACTTCGTCGCATCATTCAGAGCCATAGATAGGAAAATTAATAGACATATTGAGCTGGAGGTCTAATTAACCCTAAGAACCGTATTTTAGTTAAATACTTCTATAAGCGAATAGAGCCAAGAATCAGGGGCTTATCGCTCGCTGTAAATTTCACAGTACGCGAGCAAACCAAGTTCAATCCCCGCCGGCACTGATGAAATTGTCAATTGTAATTTTAAGTGCTCAGCGGTGAAGGAAAACATCGTGAGGAAACCTGCATGTCTGAGAAATAAAAAAGTCCGCCAACACGCATTGGGGCAACGCGGCGGACATTTCCTAGCTCTAAAACCCTCTCAGAAGTAACTTTTTTAACATTAGAAACATGAATATAAGTGAAATGTTGTATTTTAAATTATACAGTTTAAAACAATAACTTATGTAAGAACTAAGAACTTACCATATAGGGATAGGATCTGAAGGTCTCAGTTTAGACAGTTTAGTGAAAATGTTATCCATATCGTCCAAGCTATCCTGTAATCCACAAAAAAAAAGAATGATGTTAAATATTCTTAATATTAATCGCAGATTTTTTAGAATTTAATAGCTTCCCTACGTAACCGAATTTAAGATCATGCCCCCATCAGACTATTATGTGCTTATTCCACCAGCTTAATCGTAATCACACGAGATTACACCAGTTTACTTTGTTTTTTTTTTATAGAATATGAGTACATACGAGCACACAGTCCAAGTAAATGGTAAGTGAATGCTGTGGCCCATAAACATCTACATTTATTATCCTCAATTAAGAATCAAGACGCAGATGCGTTGTTATCCCTGAGGACTAATATGTAATGCCTCGTTTCCACCAAAAAGGGTCTCCGGTTCTCTACACTCACCGTACGACACACAGCAGCTTTAAGCTGCTATTTTACGTTGGTATTCTGTCAGAGCGTAGTCCTTCGCCGATCGAGCCGACCCATTCGTGCTACAGCCATACTAGTAATAAAGCTGCAACATGGCCCTACCATGTAAAAAATGTTCAGTTCCACTATGACAAATATTTTTATAATTTATAAACAGGTAAAATACATTTTAATGTAAGTGAAGCGTAAGAAAGAAATGTTTAGTATGAGGCGGCGCGACGTAAGAAATTCCATCTGACGTTAAAGGGGACTGCTTCAAATTCCAGAAATTAATATCCTAAAGAATACAAGTGGTTAAATTAAAAATTTTTGTACAACCGACATCAATAAAAATAAAATAATTTATTGTTGATTGTTAAAAAACCGCTTGACCGATTTCGATAAAATTTAAATGGGACCACATGGAAAAGATATCCTTTGAAATAAAAAAAGAATTTTTCAAATCGGTTCACGCGTCTTCGAGTAATCGGTGAACATACATAAAAAAAGATCGTTCGACGTCGAAGATGAGAACCTCTTCCTTTTTTGAAGTCGGTTAAAAATAGAACAGGATAGAATGTTTCTATTCAATATAGTTTATTACATAATATTTATTGAAAGTAAAATTTTTCCACTGGTTCGGAAAATAACAATGTTATTTGAAAAACTAGTCAGAAACTCACCTAGACTTTTTGTGAAATAAAATTTTATCATATTTTACAGTTATATAAATTACAATAGAACCAGCATAGTAGTGATCACTTCATTCCTAGGGTTTATTTTTATTTTGTTCAATAGACGACGACTATCTCCTATATTTCAGATAAAAAATAATAATTCACTAGCCGAGTGTGAGAATTGCACTATATCCGATGGAAGAATCATGTCCAACCAACAGCATATCGGGCTTAAAAAAAAAACGAGAATTTTATTTAATAAAAATAAACACATCTTACTGGCTGCAGCGTTTCCTGGCTCGCCATCTGATCGTCTTCCCCTTCTTCTTCTTCGATACATTTGACTTCATCTGACGAGCTCTGCTGTGAACATGGCAATAAGTTACAGCTTTTTCTAAACTTATATTGTTTTAATTTTTTTTTAATTAATTTTAACATTGGAGAATTTTTTCTTTTGATATTCTAGACGTGTTATTTAAAACGTTTATCATTCTAAATAAATTTTATGAGGAGGGCAGCCTTATTTCTTAATTTTATAATCAATATTATCGCGCCGTTATCCCTTTCTCTAACTACATATTGCCCAAATTTGTTTTATTACTCACCACTTGAAATGGCATTTTAATTCAAAATTATTGTAGTACAAAATGAACTTACTAATTTTTTTAAAGGTCAAATCCAAAAACTTTTCCATAAAAGTAGTTTACGAGTAAATTGTTATTATTATTTAATAAAAACAGCTTGTGTATTAAATGTTACCCTGTTCAAAAAACGTATTGCTAAAATACAGATTGCTAGAAAACGTAAACGTAAGTATTGCTAGAAATTTTTTTTATTTAATTCTAATTCTATTTTATGCGCTTTCATACCGTTCATCAGATTGCGCTAGCATTTATTGCTTGCACTTGTGCGAAGGTTATAGACATAGTACAATAAAATTACAGTAGGTGGCGCGCGTGTTGTAGCGACATATTTATTTGAGTCCTAATATGTCATTCAATTTCAATGAATGAATTAATTAATGAATATACTTTATTGTACACCACAAACAAATATACAGATATCATAACAAAAAACAGATTATGTACAATTTGGCGGCCTTATTGCTACATAGCGATCTCTCCCAGGCAACCAAAGGTGTAAAGGAATAAAACAATGAATACTAGGTTGATGGTGTAATATAAATATATCCATACATGCGATATATAGACAATATGTACATGCAATTAATGTTTTATCATTCCTAATTTTGTAAACAATATAACGCTTCCAAAGAGCAATGGCAGAAAAATAGTTGACAAAAATTATCGCGTCTAGAAATAAGTTATATATGAAATGAGTTTTATTATTTTTCTATGATTTTTCAAATAAAAATGTATTTTAATTAAAGCCACAGAAAAAAAGAAACATTTTTGGGAATATCAAATGACTTAAATCATTTTACTCTGTTCAAGTGTTGCCATTTAGTATATTCATACTATTTTCGTATACACTTTGTGAGACTACCAACACAACACATAAAATATTTTTATATTAAGTTATTATTAGTAATAACTGTACTATCAGTAATAATAAAAATAAAAGAGATATGGCTGAGAATAAGACTTACAAAGAATTTCCTATAATAATACATTTTCTCAATCATAGTACTATGTAACAATTCCATTTAATGTTATGCCAACACTAGCCCTTCTGAGAATGTCACTATGATACAAAGGCCCTGGAGCCATGCCAGAAATATACATTTATAGTATGCAAATATATAATAGAGATACAATAATCTAAAAACTCTCAATTATGTATTATGTATTAAGCTAACATCAAACAATCACTGGAAGCATGACTTTTTCCAAGGACATAACCTAAAAAGGTTCAAATGTAAATATCTTTTTTGGACGCCTTCTCAGTACAAAATTCTTTGACAGAGTTATTAAGGGACTGACGCTTAACATTTTAAAATATTTTTGATACATAGACGCTACCATTTCTTCTCAACTAATTTTATGTATGAAAGTCTGCCATTGCTCTTTAAAACGATATTTGCACAAATATTTTTTCTGCGGCAGCAACGCGCCGGGTACCAACCAGCTAGTATAGCATAAAAATGTTATAGATAGAAATATGAAAGCGACGGAGACAATGTTTTCGGAAACACAAAGGGCATAATAGTAGACAAAACGTAGTGCTTTACTAATCAGCGCAAGAAGTAGGAAAACAGTTAAGCGCACTCCACATTCACACTTATAACTCAGAATTTTGTAGACACGACCTTGATGAATGGAAAAATTATTTAAAGATTATTATATATTTAAAGATTTAAAACAGGTACCTAGGTGAATTGAGTAAATGCGGGGGCGATGATGTGGCAGTAATGTGATGCTCATGAAGCGGTGATGAAACAATGATGTGGCGATGATGTAGCGGTGATGCGGCGGTGATATGGCAATGATGTGACAGTAATGCGGCGGTGATATGGCGGTGATGTGGCAGTAATATTGCAAGTTAAAAAAAGTACAATATCACGACCACGTCACTATGTGGCGTGGCGGTGACGTGGTGGTGAGGTGGCGGCGGCACAAGGCGCGGTACCGAGTTGTTGGTGGTGGAGTGGTTGCGGCTGTGCGGCCGGAAGCCGGGCCCGGGCGGCAGGTTCTTCTGCACGCAGCAGTTCACGCCCGGGCTGAAGTGTAGCTCCACGTGGAATCTACACACACAACGCCACATATTGAATCGAGCTTTTTGGTGAGAACGACGTGTGCAAGAGTTGTCCATAGAATTCTGAATTTTGAAATCAAAATTCTAAGTGGGAATTGCAGCAAATATTTAAGATTTGATTCTATTTTGGATGTTGAACTTTAGTCACATTTAATCGTATAATATGTACTAAATCACAAAAATACTTGATTTTTTACAACAACAAAAATACATATTATACACAGTTCATAAGTACAGTGCAACTTAAACCTATATAAGATAATATACTTAGAAATTAATTGATTGTATAATCTTCTAAAAAAGCCTTGACCATCCAATCTAATTATATGAATATAGAATGTTCTAAAGTCAACAAATGTAACAAATTAAGATGATATAATATAAATTTGTATTACTTATTTAATTCAGAATTTTATTTTTATTTTGTATTCTTGATTTAATAGTATCAATATAATACCTTTCTTCCGAACAAGGATCCTTGGTGGGGTCCTCATACAACATGACAACAATTTGCGACATATAGTTCAGTTCTGACACCATCGACACGTACTCCATGGCGCGTCGCCATTGCTCATCTTTCAATACCTATGAATAAGGTAATATTATTAAATTTTTAATTTAGAAGAACATTATGCTATTAGTTATAACTGCTGATACAATATACACAAAAATTTACATTAAAGAAAAAAAAAGAAGCAATTTTATTTGGTATTTTATTTATAGTCCACGGGCCCACATACAAGGGATTTCAGTGATTAATAACAGGCTGAAAGTTTATACACAGCTTCGTTTTGACGAAACACCCAACTTTTGTCATTGGACCAAATTCCGATAGTGGGAGGAAAAAGCGCGATAGGGAGCGAAACACGTCGATTTGATGAGTGTCCCAAATTAAATAATAACAGTTTCTAAAAATCAATACTTCGAGAAAATACAATGGAAAACTGAGAAAAACTTATGGCATACAAAGTGAATGGTACCTTCCGAGTGACCCCCAGCTCTAACATGTCAGAATGGTGACTTAAAAAAAATTTATTAAAAACAAGTTTATTTTTGTTTTGGAGCTTGCAAAATATATATTTTTTATAAAAAAATGCATCGGCATACAAATTTGTTGGTAATTTTTTTGAGACCTACACTCGAAAGCTGTCAAGATTATGTTAATCTTTTTTTGATTATTTTTTTTTTATTATTTGGTTGTCCAAGGGAACTTCTTTCTGTCTGCCATCTCTACCATCTCTGCACAGGGAGGACGACTTATTGGCCAATACCGTAAAGGTTAAAGCCAATCCGCTAAACTCTCTATTTGCGTCCAACTCGACTCTCGATGATGGGGGGAACACGACGCCGACCCTCCTGCGATGTGAGTGCTCCATGCAGAATGCGCTGTTTACACTGCACTCGGTACGCAAAGCAATCCTCTCCCTGTACCTTAACAAGTGAATGGGCCTGATGGAGTTACTCCTATTGTGTTGAAGACGTGTGCTCCGGATTTGGAATCGGTTTTAACGCGTCTTTTCCGTTACTCCTATTCTCTAGGCGTAGTCCTGAATTAGTGGAAGATAGCTTTTTCTAGTAGAGTCCAAGGGAGAAGCATTGATCGTTAGTTTGGACATTACGAAGGCCTTCGATCAGGTTTGGCACACTGCACATTTTTATCACCATCTGATCACCAGCTTTCTAGCTGATCGTAGTAGACGGTGCATACTGATTACAAGCGTATTAATGCTGGTGTCCCACAATATATATATATATATATATATATATATATATATATGAATAGATAAAAGAAAGCGGAGGCTCACGTCGAGCAGGCCGCCGAAGCGCAACACGGTGAGCAGCGAGTGCACGTGGCTCTCGCTCGTGAAGTACAGGCGCGTGCGCACGTGCCGCCCCGGGCTCGACACGCCGTGGCTGTATCTGCAAGTCAACTCAAGTTAATTACATTACACCGTCAAAACACTTTCTTTCAAAACTTCTTCACAATATGTTGATGCGCCACATCGTGAAGTGTTTTGGAGATATTATACCTTGAACCAGCAAACAGTCGATGACGATAGTATCTCAAGGCACCTAAGCCTTAACCTTAATCTTAGCCTTATCTTGAGGTTTACATCACCGTCTGAGCATTTGTTTCATCATTTCCACTAATAGTTTATATGCGCAGGCATTTAATACACAAATTTTGCACCACTTTTGCGTATTATATCTACTTCTAACCATTAATTAAACAATAATACAGGTGCAGCAATCCGCAAATTCTCCGGTCAAGTTCCCACCAAAACTCCTAATTACACATACGAATACCTACAACTTTATTAATATCCCGCAGACCCTCATTCTAATTATATCGCTTTAGCCTTAACTTATCAACGTGGTAGAGCCACATAAACATCAGCATCATCATTACAGCCTTTTGAAAGTCTACTCCTGAATATAGCTTTCCCGCAAGATATGCCACGATGAGCCACCTTAATCCATCAACTTCGGGCATATATTAACTTACGTCACTAAGTAGTGGGGGATCGCCGCACAGAATACAGCGTGAAATAGCTGCTCAATATTGCAGTGCTTCCTATGTTCGCTATAGAGAACCAGCGACCATGTTTCCTGGTTAACGAGGCATTCTATCTTAGTCTATAGTCTATCTATTTTTTGATAACTGAGGATACATGTAGGTATACTTCAAGTCTTTTTATACTATAAAAAGCATTTTTAATAAAATAAATTTTATTTTTAGGAACTTTAAATAGCAAAAAAGAATTATTAATTTATTTAATAATGAACAATCTAAAATTCGTTTCAAAATCAGCATGGCTTAAAATTTTCTTTACATACTGAAATAAAGACCTAGTTAATAAAAAAGGTAATTGGTAATAATATGTACGGTATCCTAATAGCGTAGCTGGAATATATTTTTTTATATTTAATCTGCTGTAATATAATTAATGGCCTTATGTCAAGAGTACCCTAAACCGTAGAGCATGTATGAAGGGAATAATGAAAGTGGACGAAGCAAAACAAGTATGTAAGGATCGTAGCAAGTGGAAAGAACTGGTCTCTGCCTACCCCTATGGGAAAGAGGCGTGATTATATGTGTTACGGCCTACGGCTGCTCCCTTAAAGGATCCAATCTTCAGGGGCCCATGAGCCGAAGATTTCCCGAACAGACGTAGGTCGGGCCCCAATGTGGCCACGTGGAAATTCCTAATTACATTAAAATATATGGGGGAGCGTTATACTACGGCCAGTCGACCGGAAGGAATTTGGATGAAGCTTACTTACCTATCCAAGGCGACTGGTCCCTCCGGAGTCGGTCAGGTCGCATGTGGTTGTGTAGTGCAAGGGAAGGAATGGTGATGTGGTGTGTATCTGGGTGTGACTGATGGTGATTGAACCTAGACCTTGGCCATCGGCAGCAGCCCGAGCGTCGACACCGCTCCAACTTGAGGGCGCCTTTCGAGGTAGTCCACAGTCACTTTCTTCTTTCGTCACGTTGCCAGTCAATTAACTCTATCGTACGATTTACTAACTTACAGAAGCCACTAACTATCGCTGGGTATAATGGTTACCGCACAAACGCACACGGAGTTTAAAGGGTCAAAGGTCACTACCGTTTCGCGTAGCAATAGTTAATTCTAGAATATCAGAGGCAGCACTATCTAATATTGCCGAATGCACTTATGCAGGTTTTGAGTCAGACACAATAAGTCCCGGGAAGCTCTCCAGTAGGAATGCGCGTCACAATGATAGACCGTATATTTACTGGCCGCGCCGAATTATTCCGAGTTCCCTAACAGAATGGAACGCGTGCTCACGTCAGCACCGATTATGGACGACTGACGCGCTTGCGACCCGCGCCACTTGCCACGCTCGGCCTAATTTCAAACCGGTATGAATGCACCGCGCCGAGCGCCCTCTCGCGTCAATCCTTGAAAGTGTTTTGCGCGAACAAACCCCCGTCCCGGACATAAGGATTTAGGTCCGCGAACAAACCGGTCAGCGGGACAAGGTCGCGAAGGCAAGTTGCAAGACCGAATCTACAACTAAACTAGGCCACCTTAGGCACCCCATCAGGTCTTGCAACCCTAACCAGCGCCTCAAAAAATAGCCCTAATGTGGCAAGCCGGAGGGTCAGCCTCCACTGGATGCCCCTCCTGGGCATCGCAGCACTTTAACAAGTCCTGTACTGGACAGAAGTCCGACGACCTCTTTCAAACACCTATCTGTGCCCCTATGATTAGTTCCGCAATCCGACCGGATCAGCTCTGCAAAACAGCGACGCGACACGAAGCGGCCCCGAGCGGCCTCCTAAGCTTCAGTGCAGAGAGCACCCACAAATTCCACATGAACGTCGTCTGTGAAGAGCCGAACGAAACGCACAGATAGTCCCTAGTATGAATTTTCAACAAGTAGGCCTAGCCAGCCCACCCACCATATTATCATTTACCAAAATAGTGCGGCAGCTGATTTCAGTCTGATAATCTCCAAAACTAGCTAGTCTGTTAGGCAAGTAGTCCTATGCTCATATTTCAACTAATTTTTCAAAAGCATCAATGTTCAACTACAGAATTAATTCAACCAAATTAATCACCGATGCGCATAGGTCAACTTGCAAATTAAACAAAACAATAACGTAAGGGACAGCCCTACTTCTTGGTAAAGCAGAATGATTAAAACACTATCATAAACATAAACATAATTTTTCAAATAGTGCGCCATTCAATTTCAGATGAATTCAAATTTTCCTTTCAGCAAACAGACGCAACAATCAAATACAGTGATTAAATATATGTACAAAACACATGCAGTAGCATTTAAAGGAGTAGATTAAATTCAATTCTTTTAATTTAAACCGCTACAAATAGGAAAACTTCGCGGAAAGCCCAAAGCAATTTTTAATTTTAATTCAAGTATTTTTTTTTGACTAAGTGCTCGACCAAACCAAATCTAATACCCCTTGACAGCGTGATTCAACGCTCCAGAGGGGCCCTAATCTTCCCACCACCAAGGGGAGGACACATGGCGTGAACCCGAGATCGCTAACAGTCGCCACTCGGGTTGTACGCCTTCACTGAGGCCGTCGGCAACAGAACATTTTGACAAGTGGACTGTTGACGGCTTAAGGCTCAGTGGAGGTGGCCGTGGTGGGAACTAAGGCGGCAGCTAGCCAGGGCCGCCTCCATCAAATGGGGAACAGTGGTACACCAGTCGCGGCCACTCAGCTAACGGGAGTGAGAAGGGTCCAGCGGAACGATGAGTGGCCATGAAGTTCCTCTCCACACGCTCAGGGGGGGTGATGACACCCCCGCCCCTGGGGGAATTACCCCCCGACTGGTCGGGGGAGGGACCCCTTTCAAACTTAGGGACCTGATGGCTGGCCGGCGGGCGCCAAGAGTCGCCCGGCAGAGGGCGTGGCTGAGCGCCCCCGCCCGTGGGGGTCGAGGGCCTGGCAGAGCCCCGTGAGGAGACGCCGTTCGCACTCAGGCACAAAACGGCATGGTGATTGCCCTGGCAATACAGACAGGGCCGTCGATGCGGACAGTCTCGCTGGAGGTGCCCTCCCAGACATGACCAGCACCAGCGGCGCTCCTTGGCGATAATTCGCCTCGCAGGAACCGGCTTACCTAATAATTTCGGGCACAACGTTACCCGGTGATCAGATGCTCGACAATAGGAGCAGGGGGGGGGGGGGTTGACGACGACTTGCCTGGCGGGTTCAGCCTCTCACTGGGCACGTCTCGTAAGTCGTCAACGGTGCCCGCCGCGTTCTCGATCTGCCGGCACTGCTCCTCCAAAAACCGAGGTCATAGAAGGGCGGAATATAGGAGACCTCGTCCCCGCCGTACCTCTCCTCAAAATGGATTCGAAGGTCGAGAGGTAGACGGGACAGCACGATGCGGAGCAACAAAAAAGCCCATTCGCCCACTGGTAAACCCAGCCGCCTCAACGTATTACAGGCCACCAAGACTGGATCCAACAGGTCCGGACGCAGTCTGGCCCGGTCACTAAGCAGCGGGAGGCTTAGAAGCTGCTTAACATGTTCGTCAGCAATTCGCCGGACGTTGGCGTATCTTCTGGCTAGGAGGTCCCGAGCAGTGTGGTAGGCGTCGTCCGACAATCTCAAGTGGCCGACGACGCCCAGGGCCTCCCCCTCCAGTGATGCCAGGAGGTACGCCATCTTTTGGCTCGGGGTTAAGTCACTCCGGGCGTCCACTAGGCTGTCGAAGAGACCAACGAAGGTCAGCCATTCGGAAAGGACCCCGGAGAACTTTAGCAGGTCCAGAGTTGGGAGTCGTCCCAACAGCTCCGGCTGAAGCTGCTTCAGAGAGGACTCGGACAGGTCACTCATCCGAGCCTCACGCGCCTCCTCGGCATACCTGCCTTCAGCCTCGATCAACTCGTCCGTGAGCCACAAGAACTGCTCATAGTCCGCGAAGCAGGAGTCCAGGACTCCCTTCTCCACATCCGAATCCTCGAGCTCAGCGTAAGCCTCCTCCACTGCGGCCCTTCGAGCATCCACCTGCTCGAACTGCTTCATCAAGTTATGGACCCTATCCGGTCGACCTATCAAAGCATGGGCGCTTGTGGCCCAGCGTAGCTCAGTCCGTAAACAACGGATCAGTAGCTTGGGCAATGTCATCACTATTAAATACAAATTACGACGCGGCTCGAGCACAAATTACAAAGATAACAAACAAAAAATACAACAAAAATTAACAGTTAATAAATGCAGTTCCTATCAAATCGCGTTGAATAGAAATTACACAAATACGAATTACTACGTATCAACCAAATACAACTTAGCACAAAAGAAAAGGCACAAATCAAATTAACAAATAACAAATACTAGTGCGATCAAATCAAGTTAAATTCAAATTGCGTAAATACAATTACTACTCTTTAGTTCAAATACAACTTACAGTATAAACGAAGATACACATCACGGTCGATCAACAAAAAATGCCTAGCTCGGAAATCGAACCTTCGATAAGTAATCCACTACAACTATCCGACAACGATAATTAACCGATTACGTAAAAATAACCATCTACCTACATGACGTATATCTCTAGAAAACTCCCGCTTGCGCAACCTAGGGCGCGGCTTTTCAAATCTACCCACTAACCAAAAAAAGGCAAGCAACAAAGAACAAAGGAAAATAATTCTATTATTACGTACAAAAAAAAATATTTTTACGTATTACGGACGGACGTGATTGTAAATACAAATTAACCCAATCAAACCAACGCTCCCTGCCACCAGAATTGTTTAATGTTTATCAAACACTATGTTCGGGATCGACCGGGAATCGAACCCGGAACCACGCTCTGCTACCAGTTTGTTACGGCCTACGGCTGCTCCCTTAAAGGATCCAATCTTCAGGGGCCCATGAGCCGAAGATTTCCCGAACAGACGTAGGTCGGGCCCCAATGTGGCCACGTGGAAATTCCTAATTACATTAAAATATATGGGGGAGCGTTATACTACGGCCAGTCGACCGGAAGCTTACTTACCTATCCAAGGCGACTGGTCCCTCCGGAGTCGGTCAGGTCGCATGTGGTTGTGTAGTGCAAGGGAAGGAATGGTGATGTGGTGTGTATCTGGGTGTGACTGATGGTGATTGAACCTAGACCTTGGCCGTCGGCAGCAGCCCGAGCGTCGACACCGCTCCAACTTGAGGGCGCCTTTCTAGGTAGTCCACAGTCACTTTCTTCTTTCGTCACGTTGCCAGTCAATTAACTCTATCGTACGATTTACTAACTTACAGAAGCCACTAACTATCGCTGGGTATAATGGTTACCGCACAAACGCACACGGAGTTTAAAGGGTCAAAGGTCACTACCGTTTCGCGTAGCAATAGTTAATTCTAGAATATCAGAGGCAGCACTATCTAATATTGCCGAATGCACTTATGCAGGTTTTGAGTCAGACACAATAAGTCCCGGGAAGCTCTCCAGTAGGAATGCGCGTCACAATGATAGACCGTATATTTACTGGCCGCGCCGAATTATTCCGAGTTCCCTAACAGAATGGACCGCGTGCTCACGTCAGCACCGATTATGGACGACTGACGCGCTTGCGACCCGCGCGCCACTTGCCACGCTCGGCCTAATTTCAAACCGGTATGAATGCACCGCGCCGAGCGCCCTCTTGCGTCAATTCTTGAAAGTGTTTTGCGCGAACAATATGTATGTATGTAATATAATTAATTAAGACTAAAATCAATCTTAAAGGGTATGGTTGCAGTTTACTATAAGATTATTTCGCCTGGAATTTGCATTAAATATCATTCGCTACAATAACAACATATCACTTACTAAAACATCTGATAAAACATGAACTTCGACCCAAAAAATGGAAATGAAAGATTTTCAAACTATACCTTGGATTTAACCTATTGACAGTCTCTTCACCGGATTCTTCAATGTTCCTTTGCAAATCTGCCCGTATTTTCTTTAGTAGCGGCGTGCAAATACCTTGACCGATCGTCAGCTTTTCTTTCATTGTTAAGCCATATTCCTAAACACAAAAAAATATTTTTAGTTATTAAAATTAAATCTCATAATATAATTAAGTAGGTATATGTATAATGGAACACAGAAATGTCACCAGCTCATTAATCCGTAACTGATAGAGTGCGAGCTATGGAAAGGGCTGTGCTCGGATTTCTCTGTTTAATAGACTTCAGAGTAATGGACCCAGCACAACGGGTCATTAAGCTGAGATGGCAATGGGCCGGTTATATAGCTCGAAGAAACGACAACCGATGGGGAAGAAAGGTTCTCGAGTGGCAGCCTCGTACCAGTGAGCCATCTGTGTAGGGCAGCCTACCACTAAATGGAGTGGACTTTGTAAGAGATGCAGGTGGTCGATTTTTTTTTATAGAAGAGGGGGCAAACCTGCATGCAGCTCACCTGATGGTAAGTGACTGCAACCGCCCATGAACAACCGCAACACCAGGGGAATTGCAGGTGCGTTACTGGCCTTTTAGAAAGGTGTAAGCTATTTTCTTGAAGGTTCCTAAGTCGTATCGGTCCGAAAAAACCGGCCAAGTGCGAGTCGGACTCGCGCACCGAGGGTTCAGAACAAATCCGTAGGTATATAAGTTTAAAATTATTAAAAATATTTTATTATATGATGTAACTACGTTGCTTCGTACCAAATTTTAAGATTCTGAGTTCACGGGAAGTACCCTGTAGGTTTTGATTCCCTTCAGAATGTTGAAAATTTGTGGCATAAACGGCTGTATCTTTTGATTGCGTTAGCTTAGAAGTTTGATTTTTTCACAGCTCCAAGGGACAGCAGACTTGAGTATTTGATATGAATTTCAGCTTGATACCTCCACGCGTTCCTGAGAAAAAGGGTCTTGACAGACAGACAGACGGACAACAAAGTGATCCTATAAGGGTTCCGTTTTTTCCTTTTGAGGTACGGAACCCTAAAAATCGCCGGTGGTAAACAATTCCACAGTGAGGTTGTACGGGGAAGAAAACTACGCACAGTGTGGGACCGCCAAGCATCCAGATGGTGAGGTTGGTATCGTGAATTTTGACGCGATGTGCGTTCGTGAAAATTGGTGGCTGGAATTAATCCGAACAATTCCTCAGAGCACTTCCCGAAGTAGATTCGATAGAAAATGCAAAGGGATGCAACATCCCTACGCAGCGCCAGTGAATCAAGCTGATCAGAAAGAACTCGGTCATCGACGATTCGAACCACTCTGCCCTGGTTGCGGTCAAGTGGAAGGAGCACAATATTACACGTGAGGCCGAATTCCGCTTGAAAGTTGCAAGCGATGTGCCGGCATGAAATATTGTCTCGATCCGCTGAGCACGCCAAGCTTTTTAAAGGCTAATTTGGCCTTCCCTTCCAAGTGACTACAAAACTGCACACTATTCGATATGTCGACGCCGAGGATTCCAATGCTAGCTGAGGCAGCAAGGAGATTACCTTGAAACTGAGGAGATACGACAAAGGGGTTCCGTTTAGCGGTAAACGCGCGAACTTGTGTCTTCTGGGGATTGAACTGGATTAGATTTAATCGACCCCAATCCGAGACTTTGTTCAGCAAAGACTCGACTTCAAAGTAACCAGCTGTATAACAGCATATGCCAAGGCAAAGTCATAAACAGATCTCCCCGCATGATCGGTTGAACGTGAATCGAGACATTTGGCGTGGTGGGCGTAAAAATCGCCAAGGACCACGATCTCTACGGATGGGATCTGCTGTAACAAGGAATCTGTAGCCATTTGAACGTGGTCGATGAGTCGGTCTGTTTCGGCTTTACCGCTATGGAACCTATAGAGGCACCCGTAGACGCGGGGATGGTCATCGCTGTCTACGCGCAGCCATAGGATGGACAGGTCCGTACCTTCAAGACTGCCGAGGCGTCAAAACTGATGTCCTCTCTGACGTATACGCAGCCTGGGCACAAAGGAGTGTTCTAATTTGTACCCCGGGTAGGAGAGTCTCAGTTAAAATGGAAGATGGAAGTGGACAGCGTTAAAGTTGGAATGAAGTCCCCTGATGTTGCAAAAATTCACGGATAGCGTGACAGGGGTCGCCTTGGTCTTATTGCTCCGCTTGCCACGAGCAGTTTTAGTCGCGAGCGGAATTTTGCTCCCTCAAAATACGCAGGGCAGCCTGAGCATCCACGCTCAGGAGGGGAGTAGCTTGGTCGTGGATGCTCAGCGAGGGATTCTCCAGAGGTGCTGGTACCCTCCTGGGATAGTGTTCCGTTTAATTCCGCTACCATGTTGATGGGGGGGGGAGGACCTCCGGCCACCTGCACTTACCACGCGAAACGCAGAAGTAAACCTCTACTTCTCGCTGGTATTTTATGAGGTTGTGGTACCACCCTGGTTCGAACCGGCACATCATCATACCAATAAAATGAAAATAAAAATGGATGGTTGCAGGTGGCTCAGGACCGTGATTTATGGCATTACTTGTGGGAAGCGTATGTTCAGTAGTGGACTTGAGATAGGCTGTAATGATTATGATGATAAAGATATAACAAAAATTCTAAATAACATTATTACTCGATTACGTGATGTAAAAAATGTTGATTTTAAAAGGAATAAAATGTTCCACAATGGATTCGTGATATTCAGGCTGTATTAATGTTGAAATATTTTCTTTTTTTAATGTTTTTTGATTTACACATATTTAAAGCTTAAGTAAACAAAATAACAAGAAAAACATTTGCAAAGTTCACGTTATCTCATAAAAAGTTGGACGATTAAAGAACGCGCACTTGATAAGATAATATAGCCACATGTTATATTTACAACTTTGTGACTGTTTAATTTAAATCTTGAAGAGTATACCTTCTAATAGAAAGTAATTTAATGAGGGCTAATATTCTTCAGCTCACCAGATGTCGCTAGTTGACAATTAGGTGAAGTTTTTGTTACACAATGTCATTTAATTGAGAATTTATTTTAAAACTTTTTATCAGTTTCTAAAGTATTATATTAATACACAAAACAATGGCCTCAAATGGCCTGGTTGCTCTAATTTTTTTGCTCATTTTTAACTGTATTTTAATTTTTCTACTTTATGCATATTTGTGGTTTAGTTTATTTATTTTTAATCTAATAATATAAAATATAACTAATAGTATGTCAAATATTACACCTCATTTTTAAGTGGCGCTGTCCTGGTGGCAGAAAAAATCGTAGATGCCCTCATTATAGTAATACTTACTTGCGGTATTACGATGTCTGCTAAATACTTAGCGTACATATAGAGCTCCTCCGCTTGGTCGAACTGTAGCGTGTGCTGGTTGTGTTGTAGGTCGTACTTGATGCAGTCGTATATGTCTGGGATCTTTGATATGTCGTAGGTTTTGTTCTTTGTGCAGAAGTCCTTCTCTATTTTTCCCCATCGTCGACCCATCAGCTCCCATGTTTCACCGTGGTATAAAATGGTATCTGTAAGCGTTTTTATTTTAATTTTAAGCGTAATATTAATCAAAGTGTCATAATGTTTTCTTTTATAGGATAGGGTGACAAACGAAAAACGAACACACAGTCCACCTGATGGTGAGTGGTTGCTGTAATCTATAGACATCTACATCTATCCTCAATAAAGAATCAAATTGCAGATGCGTTGTCACCCGTGAGTACTAAGAAGGAATGCCTCTTTTGCAGTAAAAAGGGTATCCGGTTCGCTACACTCACCATACGAAACACAGCAGTGTTAAGCTGCTATTTTATGTTGGTATTCTGTGAGAGCGTGGTTCTTTCCAGGTCGAGCCGACACATTCGTGCTACAACTATACTACTAAAATAGCTGCAGCATGGCTCTACCACGTATATGTATGTTACTATTGATGATGAGAAAAGTTTATGTGCGTTGTTGCCCTTGGGGGCCTCGGTTGAGGTAGCTCAGTTTATGTAAAACAGGATGTACCTTTAGTCTTGTGGTCGTCCTTCTTGAGCTGCACGATGTGCACGAGGCGCTGTATGAGCGCGTGCACGTGCGCGCAGCAGCGCACGGGGTGCTTGACGAAGTCCATGGCGGCGGCGATGCTGAGCGAGCCGCACGGGTTGATGCACGCGCGGTCCTCCGCCGTGAACTCGCGCTCCACCTGCATGGCCTCGTGCAGCCGCGCCTTCGCCCTGACAACCGCACCGCCCATACCCCAATATACACAGTTATCTATGGACTTTTTCTTCCGATCAGAGCAAGCTTATTACGAAATGGTAGAAAGTTAAAAAAAAAGAAATTTTCTTCATTGAATTTTCTTAAGTAGAAGAAGTAAATATATTTCACTTCGTAGAATAGAATGATTTTTATTCAATATAGATTTTAGTACATAATACTTATTTAAAGGTCATTTTTTACTTTTACCACTGAGTCGCAAAAAAAACCTTTGCCCTGGAAAGAACCAGCAAGAAACTCAGCGGAACTTCATTTCATAAACCATAATAAATCTGGGAGACGATTGAGCATAATTCAATCCTCTTTCACATATCTAGTAACATAACGACGACGTCCCTCTAGGTGACTTTAATATTGCGAACAACTTTTGAGTACTATTTAATCAATATTGCAAGTAACCACAGTAAAATTCCCTTGAAAAATTTGAAACCTTGATTTACCAGTTAATCAGCGGTGAAATAAAACATGGAAACTTATATAGGCTGTTACTTAAACTATAAAGTTTTCTTATATTTGCCTGCATACTACTCATTAAATAAAACTAGTTTTACGGATTTTATCTAGTTTAACTAATTTTTTATTCCCGACATTTCGTTTCGACGTGCTTTGCATCACCTATAATCATGTGGGGACTGATGTGTTTAACATCCCGAGAATGAAATTAGTCCGGAGAGAACCTTCAGCTTTTTCATTATTAATTTTGGTCCAATTCACACAGAACGAGCTCAATTCTTGCATTATTTTAAAGTCTTACAGTGATATGCTTGAATTTATTTTGCTGTAGAGACTATCGGTCCGTGGGGTCCACAAGCGGTGGAATTCCTAAAGGAACTCCATCCGCGGCTTGTCGTTGCTGCTGGTGATAAGAGGGCTGGTTCTTTTCTCGCTCAAAGACTAAGTATAGCCATTCAGCGGGGAAACGCAGCCAGCGTTCTTGGCACGATACCGCGGGGAGTAGGACTATATGATAATTAAGTTTCTAGTTTTAGTTTTTTTTATTATTATTATAGTTTTTAATATTGTATATAATTAAAAAAGTTTAATATAAATAAATTTAAAAAAAATTTTTTTTAATTTTATTAATTATATGATCCCAAACAGGTGGTAGTACCCAACTTCCTTCTCTATTGAAATTAGGTTGTTTTGTAATCTCAGTAGCTTTACATATTATCATCCTTGTTACGAATCGATGTTCCTTCGCAAGGATTTGTAGTCTATTAAATCTACTGTAATGCCGGTCCCCGTTTAGGATATGTTAAAAAAAAATGCAGACTTTCCGGAGCGTTAGTGTTTCATTATCATTTTAGTATCATTTACTTAAAGGTGACGTTAAATTAAAAAGTAATCATTAATAGCTATTTACAATTAACAAAGATTGCGTAACATATACAGAAAAAAGTACATACAGTCGAGTTAAGAAACTTCTTTTAAGTCGGCTAGTTCAAAATTCATTAACAAAGTGCTATAAATATATTGTAGGCGAAGTCTTGGGAATTCGCTAGTATATATTTATATACTTACATATTTTGTACTTTTGAGGAATCACAGTCGTTATCAAGCAATCCATTTGTATTAGCAGATTTCACCATTTGAACCAATATAGGAGTGAGTTCTCCCTCTAATGCCAATAAGCCTTTAGCAAAGGCAGCGGCAGTCATTTGCACTCGGCCCTCGTCTGATGCGTATATCTTTAAGTCATGTCGGAACGTTGAATGAAGACGAAGCAGGCCAAGTCCTTGGGTCCCACTTTCACCTGGAATCAAATGAAGATTAAAATGAATTACTACAAAGATTTAAAATGACTTAGGGACTTGACAAAAGATTTAAAATACTTTGGGCTATATGGCCGGCCTATCACCAATTACTGATTCGTTGAGTTAAATTGGTTCCTCTGTCAATACAGCGGATATCTTCAGTACGGAATGTAACTTGCAGAAAAATTTCAACGTAGTTCTTGCTATAACTTCCTGAACGACTTTGAGCTTCTCTCACATACGCCTGTAGTGGAGAACAGGATGATCACGTCTCGGTTCCATAGGTTATTAGTTACTGGTTTACGCACTTGGTTGTTTTTGAACGTTGATGAATACTAAACGAGAAAATGGGAGAATACATCGTCCTATTTCGTCCATAACGAAAGCCAGAAAGATCTTATGGCCTCCGATACATGGTAGTATTAGGTTGTTCGGAAAGCAGAGAACTCTTTTTTTTTCACAGCGAAATTCACTTTTGTTGGTTACGCACCATTATATATTTTCATAGCTGATATATCAAGGCATGCTTGTGAAAATGTTCGATGGATTTCACGCAGTAGTTTTTGAATGCTACCCTTTCGAATATGATAAGTGAAAAGCAGCATTTTCGGCATATTTTACTTTTTTACTATCGAAAACGTAAAAATGCTGTTCAAGCAAAAAAAAAGTCTGATGTGTACGGAGATAATGTATTGACAGAACTCCAATGCCAAAACTGGTTTGCAAAATTTCGATCCGGCTATTTTGATATTGAATATGCACTACGGTCTGGAAGGACATTTGAAGCTGATGACACAATAAAAGCATTATTTGATGCAAAACTGGCGAACAATAACTCGTTAGATTACTGGAAGAGTAAATTTATCGAATTCAACCGTTCATGATCATTTGAAACGCCTAGGTTTAATCTCAAAGCTCGACATATGGGTTCCTCGTGTTCTTACGGAAAGAAATTTGTGCCGTCGCGTTAACGACTGTAATTTGCTTCTGAAACGTCAAGAAAAGGATCCATTTTTGAAGTACATCATCACTAGGAACGAGAAGTGGGTTACCTGCAACAATGTTAACCGCAAGAGATTATGGAGTAAAAAATATGAACCAGTTCAAAGCACTTCGAAAGCAGATATCAAAAAGAGGTAATACTATCTCTTTGGTGGGATTTTAAGGGAATTGAGCTTCTACCTAACAACTCAATGATCAATTCTGAAGTGTACTGTAATCAGCTGGACAAATTTGAAAAGAACAGAATTGATCAATAGAAAACGTGTAGTGTTCCACCAAGATAATGCAAAACCTCATACAAGTGCGACAACCCGCCAAAACCTTTTAAATCTTGAAAGGGATATACTGCCACACCCACCATATTCTCCAGATCCGACACCTTCTGATTATTATTTATTTCGGTCTCTAAAAAATTATTTAAACAGTAAAACCAGCAAATGAGGAGGTCAAAAAACGCCTGGATCAGTTTTTTGCGAATAAAGAACAAAAATTTTATGACCGTAGAATTACGCTACTGCCAGATAGATGGCAAAAGGTATTGCACCAAAGTGGACAATACATAACTAAATAAAATATTTTTTCACTGTAAGAAATTCTCCTTTCATTTTCATTTAAAAAAAAACATAAAGATTTTCCGAACAACCCAATATAATTTTTTTTTTACGAAAAAGTGATTATGAAGTTGTTAGAAGTAATTATTTAGACTACATACTAAGAGTTACTTTGAGCTTGTGATATTCCTGCGTCCAATCAAAAGGATCAAAAAATAATCTTTTAATGGGGCTTGAATTATTCCGAAGCTATTATGTGAAAATTATTTTCATCTCTTTGGAGTTTAGCTATGGTTATTTTCAGGTTTCAAAATGAATTACAGTTCCAAAATTTATTCATAAAATAAAGAGCCCTGTAAAATAGTCTCGCCAGGTACTGCCGACTATATGCATTGTCCCTCTACAAAGTGAATACTGACCGGGTATGTGGCGTCCCTGTCCGCCGGGGTACATGCAGCGGAACATGCGGCCGAGCTCCTCGGCCTGTATGCGCCCGGCCGGCGTCAGCTCGCCGCCCCACTTGAGGATCAGCACGAGCGATGGCTCCCCGACACTGCCTACTGTAACACCACGCCATCTATAATACTGTCCCCATTCACTGCACTGATTTAAGAAAGAAAAGCAGCAAGAGATTAGTTTTTATAACGAAGTTCTTTATCGGACGGTACGGATTTGGCGGATGGGGGCTAGGCGACAAAAAGTGTAAGATTTTTCCCTCACGACCCCCTTTCTATAGTGCGTAGCGAGATGGAATAATATCTATCTCTCTCGCACTTTTTTTTATCTTGCCATGAAAGAAATATTTTATTTTATATGACGCTTCCTTTGAATAGACGCTAGTAATTCATTTATTTGTATTTGTTAATAAATAATATAACACTATCAATAATAATATTTAAAAATTTCAAATTCCGCCAAATTTCACGAACGCACATCGCGGCAGAACTCCCGATACCATCCACACCATCTGGATGATTGGCGGTCCACCACTGTGTGATTTAGAAGATGTTTTCTTCCTCGCACAACTTTCTTGTAGAATCGATTACCATCAGCGATTTTTCCGGACCGATACGACTTAGGGACCTTCAAGAAAAGAGCATACTCCTTTTTAAAAGGCCGGCAACGCATCTGCAATTCCCCTGGTGTTGCAGTTGTTCATGGCCGGCGGTTGTTACTTACCATCAGGTGAGGCGCATGCTCGTTTGCCCCCTCTCCTATAAAAAACGAAAGGAATTTCGTTCCAACCGAGTGTTCCACGACATTCACGCATGTTTTTATTTGCGTATTTGTAATATTAAACATTTGTGGGAAGGATATTTGCAATTACCCCATTAAGACCCGCGGGTTAGTGTAAGAGCAACTGTGGTAAACACCAAAAGGATCTTACAGTTTCCGACAGTTGGCAGTATCCCCATCTCAATCACGCAAGACGTAAAATACCCTGACCTAGAACACGAAGCAGCGTCAAGTGCGGGTGACTGATACTGCGATCGTCGATCAGCCACCCATGTGTGACGAATGAGGCAATCAATTTAACGGGAGATGCTCATAACCGGCAGTTAATTTCTACAGGCATTTGTGATTTATATTTATACTCTCCTACATTTTATCTAGGTATAAGGTTCGGTTTTACAACACTCAAAGTATGATAAAATCTTCAACATCATTAGTCTATGTCAAGTAGACTGGTGCACATGCTCTCAGAGATTGCCACAAAATTCTGTACATAGCGACCTGTATCTATAGACTGCCTAAATGCTTCATCAATTCTTCACTCTGGGTATTAAGTAGATTCGGTACCCTGCCCAGCACTGCTCTGCTACGAGGCTGGCACTCGGGAACTACTCTTCCTCATCAAGAGTCAATCAATATGGCTAGTTTATTGCTATTATTGTTCCGTAAGCGTTGACAAAAAACGAATAATAAATTAAACAAGCCTTTATAGAACAAAGTTAGACTTATTCAAAGCTGTGGCACGTGTACAGTTCGACACTAACAATTTGTATTGTGACTTTTAATATTGTCTAATTGTGGATGTTTGGAGGCGACAACGGGTATATTTTTCGTTATATCAAAATTAATTAAAGTATTTAATATCAAGCAGTGCGTCAGTAGCGAATCTGAGTACTATCACAAACCAATATTGGTTTAATGGTACAAATCAAATGTAAATATGCATGAACACTTTTGTTTAAATGAATTTTAAATAAATGCGCAAAAGTTAATATAGTGCCACAGTGTACGCGCAAACACAATTGCTATCAATCATCTTATATGAAAACGTAAAATCTTGAAATAAGTGCCTTCTAAATGCTAAGCCATTTTGAAGGTAAAACATATAAATTTATCTTTATTTATATATTTATTTACCTCTTACCTTCACTCTGAAATACAAATACAATAGCATCAACATAAATTTTGTAGCAACCCTATCTGAGTTGCCACAAAGTTTGTATTGTTTTGTAAAGTAAATTGTAGTTTGATTTAAATAATTAAAAAAAAACTTTAATTAATCACTTAACAAGATTATCCATCTATAGAGACATTTAAGAGGCTGTTAACTACAGCCGGTATTTTGGGTAGATTCTATTCAGTGGAATTCATGCAGCAATAACAAAATTATTGTATTTTAAATAATTAATAGTTTTTCATTCATTTCTTCAGCAAGAAAACTGATTACAATGTTTATTTTTAAAACTACATGCGTGATCTCGTATTCGTAAAATTTAATGCCACCAAAACACAAGTGTGTATGTTCGGCAAACGGAGTCCCTTATTTTAACTCCGTTTTTTAAATAAGAGGTGTACACAGTGGCAAATTATCTTTAAGGAAAACTAGGCACGTGCCTAAGAATATTAACTTATATAAAATAAAAATTAAACTTTCTATAAAGATGTAGAGCCTCCGAAGCGCGCCCCGTCTACTTGATTACTACTACATCGCCCTCACTCTCATTTTCCATTCATACCCACCTGTGACATGTCCTAATTATTTTGCAACTAAACTATATTATAAATAAATAATGTTATAGTTTATTTGGAAAAACGTTATATAATTTATAATATATGGCCGCAAGGGGGCGCCGATGAGGTGCTAGCCTAGGGTGCTATCGGCTTTTAATCCGCCTCTGGGTGTACAAACGAGCATGCGGCGCACCCGATAGCAAGTAACCATTACCGCTCATGAGTCATGACCTACACACATACCTGAGTGTAATTCTGAATGTACTTCATTTAAAAGTCAATATCAAAGAAACAACAATTATTCAGACTTTTAATACCCACGTTATATTTATTTAAATCATGCACAAACAATTTCTACGGAAAGATACAAAAAGAAAATTACAGAAAACACTTTAGTTATTTAGGAACAGTTAAACAAGATGCTAAGTAGTTAAATCGCGAAAGATTATACCATGTTTACACTACGTAAACATAGTAAGATCTGTGTTTGAATAAGGCGCCCATAGTAATATCTGCGTTTGTACAAGGTGCATTAATTATTAGATTACGCTTCTGATAAAATCTAACTTTAGCACTCATTTTATATTGATTTTGAACCGACTTGGAATTAGAACACGGGACCTCATAATCAACAATCGCATTTACGATCACTACAATAACGAGGCTGTCATAACATGTGATGTGAGGAGTAAAGCTTTTTGTGTTTGGCGTGTCTAAGCGTTTCTCAAGGGTTCGCATGACACAAAAATGTTCCCGAAGATAAGGGTCAATGTCCCCTGTCATTTTAATAAAATGTGTAGGCTTAAGAATAGACAACCCTCAAATTAATCAATGCAAACAAAACGCAACCTCATGCCTTCGTGTAAAAATCTTTTTCTTTAACAAAACAATCGACCTACGATTAATCAGGTCCTTATAAAAGACGCTTAGCGACTTTGTACCTCGTGATTATATAATTGCTGTGTGAAATCATACATCAATTTTTTATCCTGAACGACATTTTACCCACCCCGCACGTTACTATTATTTCTTTTAAACTCAAACGCAAGAGTGTGCGCCTGGTAAATGTTTAAAAAAAAACCATATTATTATGATCACAAAAATTAACAAATCGGCCATTCAACTTTAAATTGAATAGGGATTCAATAGTATAGAGACGGTATTATTTGCTTGAAAATTATTATACGTGAATTATCATAAATAGTAAATGCAAATATGGTTAAGTGTTTTTGACAGACAAAGCTAAAGTAAAATGATCACATGCAACATAATCAGCTTAACTACTTTGGTGGACCAAATGCATAAGTGGGTAAATTAATGTCTGCACCTTGCACCGGTGTATTGTAGAACATGATTTAAAATGATAGTTTTATGAAATGGAATAAAAAAATAACCAATTAATTTACTATAGTCAAACTTTCACAATTTTTTTTTTGATAGGATTTTAATTTTCAATTGTTTAAGAGTTTTGGTCGACAATAAGTTATAGGTGCAAGGAACACGGTTGCTAATGCATAAGAGTTATAAAATCTACCCCACGTCGATTCGTGCAATGACCGGTAAACCGACAGATAAAAACATACATTCACAATCGATGACGGGATTCAACTACACGTTTTCTCAAAAAATTTAATTAAGAATCTGTCAACGTTTTCGTTAATTTAGTTTAAAATTGAATATATCGCAGCAAATTTTACAAGTTGTGCAACATATTATATAACATTATTATTGTTTACACACGAGCAAGAAAAATGGATAGCTAGAGTCGGTACTTAATACGCGGACACGATAGGGTAATAGCAGGAACCGACGTGGGGGCGACACTAGTGTAGAAGCAGTGCGAGGCAGACCGGCGTGCGCAGGCGCGTTACCGTCGTCGGAGCTCGAGCCCCGCGGCCGCCCGCGCGGCTGGTACTTCATCTGCACTTTGCGGTTGATGCCCGAGAAGTGCCCGTACCTGAAAACGAACGTTTCTTTAAGAATAATTAAAAAAAAGAATAAAACAGTCTTCTATGATGCCACTAGACGTGTTCTGCAGCTATATACGTACATTGCGCACTAGGTTAAGATCAATTCTCCATAACTCCTGCGATGCGGGCGAAAAGACTAGTTCATTGCTTTGTAAACGGCGAACGTTGTTTTCGACAATCTAAGACTGATTTTGCTTATTTCAGATAAGTTTGCAACTTTATTTCGCATTTGCTTAAAAACTGTAACTGTTGTAAGTAAAAAACAAATTGCGTGGCGTATTTATTGTGCACAATCTATACAACTGTGACACAGTTTTTGTTATGAATTGCCGGGTCTAATAGTCTAGATAGAAGTTTTTGAAAACAAACAGTAAAATAACAAATGGAAATTAAATGTTTTAAAAATCAAAATCTACCAAAATAAACGCCGAACAGACGACAAATTGTGTTTTAAACATCTGTTTCAATCATTACTATCACATAAGTTATTTCGCTCCCTCGGAAATTTTTTTTATAGTATAAGGTGACAAACGAGCACACAGTCCACCTGATGGTAAGTGGTTACTGTGACCCATACACATCTACATTTATCCTCAATAAAGACAGATGCAGATGCGTTGTCACCCGTGAGTACTAAGATGGAATGACTCTTTGCCAGTAAAAATGGTCTCCGGTTCTCTACACTCACCATACGAAACACAGCAGTATTAAGTTGATATTTTACGCTGGTATTCTGTGCTAAAAAAGAACTAAATCATCCTTACTTTATATCCCCAGAGTAAAATTAAGCAGCAAAATAACATTGGAAACCTAAATTATCAAAAAAACAAAATAGAAAGTATTTTAACCATTCTAAAATATTCCTAGTCCATGCTTCTCCACTCATAGCTGTTCCTCAATTGTAATTTTGAATTTAAATTGAATTGTTCGAAGTGTAGGGCGACCCCCCACTAGTTGGAGTGTCGATCGACGCAAGTGGCTCAGGATCGTGCTTTGTGGCGTTCGTGCTTCGAGGCCTGTGTTCAACAGTGGACTTGTAAAGGGCTGTAATGATGAAATTCTGAAGCCGTAAGCTGATATGTTAACCTTGTATACATCCAAACTTTGTCGCTGTCATTTCCGTTGCTGGTTTGATTACTTGCGATTGTGTTCTCTGAAATATAGTACTCTAATCAAGAGTATCTTAATTTGTTAAAGTATCTGAGTAGAAGTGACAGTAATTATGCAGCGTTTGGTTTTTTTTTAAACTATTGTTTCTAACAAGGAAACGATAAACTGATAAGTAAAGCCTGGAGTCAACAGAGGTCAAAATCCTTTAGACTGCTGCACGCGTCATGTAAGTATGTAAGTTTCCCCATTTAGTTTATTTTACTAGAGCTAGTATGGAATAAAATGAAATTGAAGACTTACATCTCCAACACACTTTTAAGCTGCTCTAGCTTGCCCTGCTTCTCCTCTATCTCAGGGTCTGCGTGACGTGTGTGTATATCAGCTAGCAAGGCTCGAGAGATGTCTAAAATCTCCTGTAATTGTTTTGGTCGCTTAAGTTTAACGTGGCCTCTTTTATACCCCTCATATTTCTCAAATATCTCGAAGAATCTGCAAAATTTATAGAAATGTAAAAACAATTTTCATTATAAATAAAATACACAGATTTCTTAACAACCAGTGCAGTATGATTAATTCACAAACTAAGTAAAAAAAGTGCAGTACGCAAGTTGTTTAAGGGCCCACATATTGTCCATTTTACGTTTTAGTAAAGAGCAAAGCAAGGCGGTTTGAAGCAACTAATGCGAGAAGCCAAAGATCGATATAGATCCAACGATGATCTGCCTCAGACTGATGAACATTCTAACATTGATAATATCATATACAAACCTCGGATGGCGCACCTCGACCTTCATCTTCTGTTTAGGTGTGCGGTCCCCGTGTCGTATGACGGCAACGACGCAACGCAGTTCCATCATCTTGCCGAAGGTGGTAGGCACTATGGGCGGGTCGTCGAGCTGAAAGGGTACCGACCATGGAATGTGCAAAGTGGGCGCCAGTTCACGCAATATCATGTTGCCAAGGATCTTCGCGCAGTCGTCGTAGTACTTGTTCGAGTTCTTCACGAACGAGAAACCGTTTACGTCGCATACGAACGACTTACCGTTTGCTCTGTTCAACAAATAGGATAGCTGATTTTAGAGGCATGTCGTTTAATTAGCATTTACATAATAAAATTATACCTCTTTTTTATTTTTGTTTCAACATTTTTTTATAGAATAAGAGTGTCAAACGAGCTCACACTCCACCTGATGGTAAAGTGGATACTGTGTCCCATAAACATCTACATTTATCCTCAATTAATAATCAAAATGCAGATGCGTTGTCGCCCCTGAGGACTAAGATGGAATGCTTCGTTTCCAGTAAAGTGTCTCCACTTCTCTAAACTAACTATTCGAAACACATCAGCATTAAGTTGCTATTTTAGGTTGGTTAATCTGTGAGAGCGTGGTCCTACCCCGGTCGAACCGACTCGTTCGTCCTACAACCATAATATACCACGTAATAAATGTTGACATATTTAAATTACTACTATGTCTATAAAACTAACTTTACTAGGACCTATCCTAGCATAGTAGTTATATATTTTCAGGTTTTAAATCTCAATTTGGACTTGAAAGTATTTTATTTTCATCTAATTGCAATATTTGGCGGAAAGATTTCTTCTGCTAAATTTCAGTATGATTAAACTAAAACGCCTAATATACAAGCAAACAAAACCTTTTAAATTGTTAAATACTAATAAATGTCCCCGTGACTTTGACACAACATCTAACCTGACCTCCGTAATTATCACTTAAGTGCTATATAGAATAAGGATATGACGAGTGTCTGTTTTCGCATACACCGTACACAGGTCACATTATAATAAGAGCTACTCAATTGTTTTCTTCTAACAACATCAGGAAGTTGTCGCCGTTGCCAATTTGCATGGATTTCTGGCGTTTTTCTTAATACGATTTTATGTAACTTGATTTTGAATAGTAAAATAATTATTGAAACAATACAATTCTATATAATTTGTTAGAAAATATTTTTTTATAACTACTAATGTTTATGCGGATACTACTCGTATACGACAAAATAATTTTATCGCGCCAAATTACTTATTTTTTACACGATATTTTACAGCACCCGTGGTCATGAGAAGAATGAGGTGGAACTTCCTGGTTTCATAGTTATGTGGGACTATCTTCAACTTATAATTATTACTGCACGTGATAGCCACATTGCGACGTATTAGCACGAAACCGTCAGCTAGACCGAGGAAGGATCTCACTCACACCATTTATCAATATATAATTGATCACGAGTAAAGATTCAAGTGCGTTGTCGCCCTTGGGGAAATAAGATTCCAATCATCTCTTCAGGTAGCTCTTTGGATGTAATCGAGGACTGATGTGGGTGTTTATAGGCACATAATCCACTTACCATCAGGTGAAGTGTGTGTTCGTTTATCACCATTACATCTGTAAAAACACTTTGCATCCATTAACATTTTTATAAGGAAAGACGGTCATATTTGTTTGATTAAAAATATATACAGTATTGCTCATTTTAGTCCATAATTCTACTTTTAATTTTTAATTAAGAAAAACTAATGGACTTAAAACACTGGCACGTCGCGTCTGGACAGTAGCAACAGCGTACCATCTCAATTACCTCACTGCGGTACCTCTATGTCTGAGGTCCGTATCACCAACAAGGAGGTTCTTAAAACCTTGCGAAGTCTAGACGTGAACAAAGCTAGTGGACCTGTTGGTATACCAGCTATAGTTCTAAAGGTCTGTGCACCTGGGTTGTCTCCTGTGTTGACACGCTTGTTCCGCCTCTCATTCAGGACTGGAATAGTGTCTAAATCTTGGAAGCTGGCCAATGTGCAGCCTGTGCCTAAAAAAGGTAGCCGTACCGAACCTGCCAACTATAGGCCAATTTCAATTACCTCCATACTCTGCAAGATTATGGAGCGTATATTGAACGCCCACCTTATGGCATACCTAGAGCAAAATGATCTCCTCATTGATCGCCAGTACGGGTTTCGCCGAAATCGATCAACTGGGGACCTTCTAGCGTATGCCACTCACATATGGGGCGAAGCCATCGAGAACAGTGGTGAAGCACTTGCTGTTTCCCCTCGATGTTTCGAAGGCTTTTGACAGGGTTTGGCACGCTGGTCTATTAGGCAAGCTTTCAGCGTACGGCTTATCCCCTGGTCTAATTGTCTGGGTGAAGGACTTTCTGAGTGAACGGTCTCTCCGGGTCGTCGTGTATGGCTGCTCATCCGATACTGAGGCGACTAACACCGGTGTTCCTCAGGGGTCCGTTCTCTCTGCAACTCTCTTCCTGCTGCATATAAATGATCTGCTCATTCCCGGTGTCTATGGGTATGACAGTACAGTTATGGAGAGATACCAACCAAGCGCCCGGGCCAGTCGGAATCAAATCCAATCAGAAAGAGAGGCTATGGTTAAGCGTGTGAGTCTCACACTAGACTGCCTGTCTCCGAATGGGGCGATGCCAATCTCGTGAGATCTAACGCTTCCAAAACACAAGCGTGTCTTTTTACCGCTAAAAGGAGCCCGCTCACCTTGGCTCCTACTTTCCGGAATGTTTCCTTGGAGTACACTGACCGCCTTCAGTTGTTAGGGATTGAATTTTCTCCGAATCTAAACTATGGGCGGTTCATTGAGTCCAGAGCCAAAGCAGCCGCAAGGAAACTTGGTGTCCTTGCAAGGGTGCGGCGGTACTTCACGCCAGGGCAGCTTCTTACCTTATATAAAACGCAAGTCCCGTCGTGCATGGAGTACTGCTGTCACATATAGGCTGGTGCTGCAAAATGCCACCTGGCAGCATTGGACTCAGTGGAGAGACGTGCTAAGAGGCTCATTGGTGACCTTGATTTGGTTGAAACCAATCTTGTCAGCCTCGAGCACAGGCGCAGAGTAGCCAGTCTCTCGGTATTCTATAGGATGCATTTCGGTGAGTGTGCGCAGGAATTACACGCTTTAATTCCTCCCTCACCTTTCCACCATCGGACAACCAGACGGTCGGCGGGTCGTCATCCCTTTGTTGTCGATATTCCACGCATTAGAACCAAACGGTTTGCTTCGTCTTTTATAATGCGTACAGCAAAGGAGTGGAATAATTTGCCGGCGTCTATCTTTCCGTCCGAACACAATCTGGGCGTCTTCAAGGCAAGAGTGAATAGGCTTTTGTTACGATAAGACAGTGCGATTTACCATCTGAGGCTACATCAGCACTTACCACCAGGTGGGATTGTGGTCAAGCACTGGCTTATAATAAGTAAAAAAAAAAACCTAAAAATATAAAGCATTAAGAAAAGGAAAGAAAACAAATTACGGAAAAATTAAATTGTGACATCATATAAAATTACATAATATTGTATAAAAGTAAAGAATGCCCGCGTAGTAATGGTGTCGTAAGAGGCAACAGAGAGAAGCAAACAATTAGATTAGCAGCATCATCTTTCTAATAACGATTGGAAAATAAAAAGGGGGCAAACAGGTGGATTAATAACCGGTAATTCTTTTTTTATGCCAAGCGGGCAAGAACCGTGATAGCTCAGGGGCTATGCGCTCGCTGTAATTTCACAGTACGCAAGCAACAAGGGTTTGATCCACGCCGGTACCAATGATGAAGGAAAACATCATGAGGAAATATAAATGTATGAGAGATAAGAAAAAAAAAATTTCGAAGACATGTGAAGTTCAATAACACACATTGGGGCAGCGCGGCGGACATTTCCTTGCCCTAAAACTCTCTCAAAAATTGGAGGAGGTCTGTTTCTAGCAATGGAACGTTTATAGACTATAACTTTCACTTAAACTATCAGCGGGCAACTTTGGCAAATTATGTCCACCTTATGAAGCATTCAATGGGGAGGCCTTTGTTCAGCAAAATTATTTTTAACATTATATATTTATATTAATACACAACCAATATCAACTCATTTTAAACACAATAGAACTTTAGATATAAGTTTTTAGAAGATTGTAATATAAACTTATACATACGTGTTATTGTTTTGTTTTGGAAATTTATTGTTTCTTCAACTAGCTAACTAAAAAGTTAACGATAGTTTTCTACCGACTTCAAAAAGGAGAAGATACTCAATTCTACTATATGTTTAATGTGTGTTACATCATAACTTTTTACTAGGTGGACCGATTTCGATGATTTTTTTTATTTGTAAGCTGGTGCTTCACATGTGGTCTCATATAAATTTGATCAAGGTCTGACCAATAGTTTTGAGTTATTCTTAATAATTTATATTGAAATCGGTTGTACAAAATTTTAAATTATTAAACATGCATTCCCGCTCATGGCACTCTCTCCACAACTTTGTTCAGCAGTGGACTTTTACGGATTGATTCATATAGCGAAGAAGTAAAGATAAAATAACTTTTTTAAAACCAATTTGATACCATAAAGAATCCGGACGGGACCTTTTCCTTGATGATTTACATTAAGATACCTAAAGAAAATAAATCGCTCACCTCAATAAATCAAAACCGCAAACGGTTTGTTTAAAAGCCAAGCATACTTTTCTCGATATCAACTTCTCTTGATTGGAGAGAATAACAGGATATCGGATCTCCTTGCCCTCAGAGTCACGTTCCACTTTGCCGTCAAGGGCTGGACTTTTGCGAGCTTCAGCATGCGCGTAATCTGGCCCCACCGTATACACTTTTACGTCTGTTCCTGATATATTAAACGTACCAATTATTAATACAAAATACCACGGCGTTTTATTAATTGTACGGCTTCAGTTAAATAAAATTATTATAATGTGATAATAATAGCAACTACTTTTAAAAAGGCAGACTGAAAAAATTAAAGGTCTGTATATAATACGGTATATTTGTATTTATTACAGTTTAAAATATGGGTGCAAATTAAATCTAGACACCGGAAGCTTTTCCCGCTACGTCATACACAATAGATACCTACTAAATTAACCCACAAAAAAGCCTCTGTATAACTTCGAACGTAGCAAGTTATCATCATCATTCACTTTTTTTTCAATACTCAATTCAAAACATTGTAAATATTCCAAAATCTATCTCTTTGCTTCTTGGCTATCAATCCAATTATAATAATTTTCATAGAGCACTTAAATAATTTATACTTGCAATTGTTAACTTTAAGCACTAAGTATTGCAAATATTTTTAATTCTAAAAGTAAATACGCACCATCTGTAGGCATAAAATCTTCGTAAATAAACGAGCCAGTTTTCCTTACTCTAGATTCCGGAGAATATATACTACTCCGACTTCCAATCTAAAAACATAAAATTATAAACAAGGCTTAAATAAATTGAATCGTAACAGTTATTTGCTAATACTACAGAAACGCGCGAACCTTTCTGAACAAACGCTGGCTTCCACCACCAGCCGAGGTCGGATAATAAATGTAAATATTGTGGTCCTCCGCCGACACCGGTTTTTCCACGAAAGGTTTGTTAAATACAACACCATTCACTTCCACGTGATCCTCCGATTCCACTAACTCGTGATCTGTTCAAAAACAAAACGGTATAGCTTATATTACATAACAATAACAATGACTTACGACTTGTGGTGGGTCATAACATACGTTTTGGATCCGGTGAATCTCTATCTAAGACAGCATATCTTGGTATCTCAATACCCTCACCTTCTAATATAGCATACACTCTTCTACGATCCTGAGTAAAAAAAGTTATCATGTAGTCCTTCGTTCAGCTTAATATTATATGCCTTATTATATTCTCTAATTACATTTAATTTACTACACTAGATTAGTAAACTAGTCATTACCTGAATATCATACTGCATGTGAAGATTGTTTATAACATATGGTTTCCTTAACTTCTCATACTGAATTGCTTTATCGAGAGGAAAGCCCTTAGAATGAAAAGAGATTAAACAATCACAGATAGGCCATTCCTCAACCGGTTTCTGCAATGAGTTTATTTATTGTAATTATTTGCTAATATTTGTTACTATTCCACATAAGTCGTTATAGTGACGTCATTAAATGATATTAGCTTGGATGGCAAGTAGGCAATTGTAAAGAAAAACATGCAGGTGAACATGTTGTGGCATGTGGACCATTTTAAACATTTTATATTTACAAGTTGTTAATAGAGAAATAATTATATGGAAGAAGTAGTGAAACAAAATAAGCATTTGCACTATAATAATACACATTAAACCTTTTCAACGTACAACGTTAAACCACAAAAACATACAAACAGTTTTAAATATTTTATTCCACTACAGAGGTTAGATAGTTAACAGAACCTTAAGGATAACCTCCTCAGGGAAAACTAGCATCTTGATGTATTCAAATTCGTCAAGGCGAGTAAGGATTTCCTTCATGGGCTTCGACTGCGACTTCTTGGCCATGGCGCATACACCGACCACCACTTTCTTGCCCCCGCCATCACAGTGCGGGTCTATGGATTCGCACAGATCCAATTCGCCCTGGGAAACACCAGGAATATACAATATGAAACTAATTTTACTTGAATTGAACATTAATGGCTATTAATTTTACTTGAACATTAAGGGCTAATAATTTTCTGCTCACCAGATGTCGCTAGTTCACACTGAGGTAGTTTTTTGTAATACAGTGTAATTTAATCGAGAAGTTGTTTTTTTCAATAAAAGTTTTTTTTTAATATAGTATAGGGTGACAAACGAGCACACAGTCCACCTGATGGTAAGTGGTTCCTGTGCCCATAGACATCTATCTACATTTATCCTCGAGCCGACCCATTCGTGCTACAACTATACTACTAATATAGCTGCAGCATGGCTCTACCACGTATCAACTAAGAGTATTATATTAATACACAAAACAATGCGTCAGAGGTTTGCTCTTTAATTTTTGGCACATTTACAACTTTTTTTTTTTCACTTTTCTACTTTTATGAATAGCTGTGATTTGGTTTAATTATTTTTAATGTTATTAATATAAAATATAACTAATAGTACAGAAAGAAACAATAACTTTTACATTTTCTGAACAAATTAACTGCCCCGCCATGAAATCGGTCAAACATTATACCTCACTTTCTAGTGGCGCCGCCCTGGTGGCAAAAAAGGCCGTGGATGCCCTCCACTCCTTAACATGATCATACTTTACGTCATTAGTAATTTACATTTTTATACAAATCTTTAATTTACAGGTATTGTTACTGTAAATAAAAAAATAAATGCTGAATGCTTAAGAAACGAAGTCTTCCAATATGTCAAGTACACTAAGCTCTCAGACATCTCTTTGAGACTTCCTTATCTTAATTGGCTAGTCTGTTCTTGTTAAGGTTCCGTACCCAAAGGGTAACCAACGGGAACCTATTCTAAGCATTCGCTGTCGGTCCATCCGTCTGTTTATCAGTTGGCTGTATCTCATGATCCGTAATAGGTAGACAGTTGATATTTTTACAGAATGTGTATTTGTTGCGGCTATAACAACAAATAATAAAAATAAATTAAAAATTAAAGGGAGCACCCCTACTAAAAACGTGTTTTTTAACTACATAGTATTAAATCTTGTACGATGGTACGGAACCCTTCATGCGCGAGTCTGTTTCGCACTTGGTCGGTTTTTTTAGAAGTAAAGAGCGTAAAGGCGAAAATATCGCGTAACATACATACAAAAAACATGCACTCGAATTGAGAATGTGTATGTTTAAAACTATATCCCTTTAATTGTAGTGATTTTAATATTTCTTTTTTATTAATAGTTTATCAGACCTATCTAAATTTATGTATATGACATCAGGGGTGGTCCCATATAAATTTGAGTCTTTAATACTCGGGAATTTAATACTTCTATAGACTAAATGTCTAAGCATCAACTTCAGAAGCTCTTTGAGAGAGTACATCTCTAGAACGCACTGTACAACGGCCATTTAGAAAAGTTGCTCGTTAGCGCAGTAACATAATTTGTTTAATTTGGCTCCATCTTTTCTAATGCGTACGGCAAAGGAGTGGAATAATATGGCGTCTACTTTCCGTCCGAATACAAGCTGGGTGTCTTCAAGGCAAGAGTGAATAGGCTTTTGTTACGATAAGACAGTGCGATTAGATAGTATAGTACTACGAGTAGTAATGCGGTGCAGATGATGTATGAAAATATGGATATTTTTGGAATGCTGTAAGTTAGGTAATTACGTGGATTTGTGCTAAGCATAACGATTTGCCAAATGGTCCACACAAACTCAATAGAATATTAGAAATTTTGACATCCCAAGGGATATCATCCATAATGGTTTGAATCATTATTTCGACAAAGCCATTAATAACCGCATAATAGTGTTTAATAGTTTCAAGAAATATTCTTAATTATTCTTGATACAAATGGAAACTCCATTTATTAAAATGCTTATTCAAATTCTCTCATATTCCATAAGACCTAAGACTTGAAATTTGGTAGTCATCAAGAACGGATTTTACGAAATCCCACCCGCAAGGGGGGTTGCAGGTTCACATTTTCAAACCATAGGTCTTGTAGGTATAAAACTTGGCCAGAATATTATTTTTGGCATGTTAAAAGTTACTAAGAACGGATTTTATGAAATTCTAATTTAAATTTTTACATTTACCGTATTGGATAACTTCAGCTTCCGAAGTATTTCATAAAAAAATGTTTGAACATTTTGATGATTGGAAGGTGTATGTTTATTTGTTGATGATTTGTTTGTAGGTATATGGGAAAAGAAAATATGAACACGGCGAGCGTTTACAAAATATTTTGGATAGGTTTAGGTTTTTTTTTTTTAATTAATTTAAAACTTGCACTTAAAGAAATTTAGCATTTTGGCATAAAATTACACAAGGCATTCGTCCAGATGAATCACATATCTCTGATATGAAATCGTATATCTGATATGAAAATTTAGCAGGGCCCAAAAATTAAATTTGACTAGTTTACGTTGGTAACTTTGTTTGAAATTGAGCAGACAAGACCCACTTATTTAGGCAGTTATTGAAAAAAGAAACAGAATGGCATTGGTGGAATAATCAACAAAACGCTTTCGACCATATAAAAAACTGCCTTACAAACACCAATACTACAGTATTGTGATGTTCACAAACCTGAATTTATATCGGTGGATGCAAGTAAGAAATATCTCGGAGCTAGTATAAAATATAACCTACCTGTTAGCTATACGTCTAGGTCACTAACAAAAGCCGAGCAATATTATGCTCAGATTGAAAAATAATTATTGGCTTGCGTGTTTACTTGTGAAAAATAATATTCTTATATATATGGCAAGTCGGATGTTCCGATAGAAACCGTTTTCACTGCCTCAGCGCGATTACAACGAATGTTGTTACGCCTTCAGCTATATACGCTTAAATGAGTTTATAAACCAGGCAAACATTTGTATAATATATTGCCGATGCTTTGCCATGAGACAATAAAAAGCACCGAGTATGAGCAGTTTAAAAGACTCTTTAAATTGTTGTATGAGTCAACGGCTATTTAGATTTCACTAATAAGCGCGGTAACGGTTTCAAATCCTCTTACAGGCACGCATTTTATTAAATTACAGCATTGCACCCCAAAACTATACTAAATTACAATCATTAACTAATCAAGTATATAAAAAATGGTATGTCCGAACACAAGCAAAATGTATGCAATATTGTTGCACATTATTAGGGCTATAGAGACGCGTCGTCTACCTCGTACGGTTTAATTTGGAGAGGTAATCGTGTAATATATTAACCCTTTCGCTGTCCCGTGCACTACATATAGGTCATTGCTATTGTCTTACTATTGTGTCTCAAAACCGGACAGTGAAAATGTTAAACGACTGCTACATCGACTCATTCATCAGAATATTAAAAGCAAATTAAATCAAAGACAAGCGCAACAAGAATTTTATTAAGATTTAAAAAAGCTGAAGATTTGTGTAATTTAAAGATAGTGTAAATGTTATGAGTTAAAGTACCACAAAATAAACAATGGGTAAGTGGAATTGTTGAATCAATATTAGGGCAACAATCTTATCTTTTAAGGCAATGTAATGGTAGGACTTTAATGCGTAACCGTAGACATTTCAAAGTCGATCCTTCAGTAAACGGCTACTCTAATACATACGGGTATAAACCACAGGATAAGTTCCCTAGAACCGGTGCCAACTCTGGGGCACACGTCCTCGGCACAATTGGGAGGATTCCGTCAGGCCCACTCGACATGGATGTCCAGGGAAAGGATTGCTTTGTTGTGTAAACTGCACATCCGGCATGGAGCATTCACATTGCGGTATGGTCGGCGGTATGCTTCCCCCGTCATTGAAAGTCGAGTTGAACGCAAAGAGAGAGCCTAGCAGATCGGTTTTCTCCTTTGCGGCCTGGGCCGGTGAGTCGTTCGCCCTGTGCAGAGATGGGAGAGATGGCTGACAGAAGTTCCCTTGGACAGCCCTTGGCGAGAAACCAGAATGCACGAGTCCCCACGTAAGTAACCGGTTGGGCAGTATGTATATTATTGTGTTAATGCAACTGCATCCATGTGCGCTCGTTAAATATTGAGAAAGCAAGCCCAAAGTTCACCTCCTGGATCATTGGCATACCATCCAATAAAAGTTTTATTCTTACGTCGATACGCGTGAAGTCAAATTGTCCAAGTTATAAATGCCATTGAGCTGTGTGTCAAACTCATGTGGCATTTCTTTTTTGCTGAGTATTTTTTTATTGATATGCTACCTTTTCTTGCAAAAAATATTTACTATAAGAACTTCTGGTGTTGGCCATGTCGAAAAAGATATGCAATGGAATACTCCCTTCCTCACAATGATCAATTTTATTTTAAACCCTTACTTTTATTACACAATGTATTAAATGAGTTTTTAAAACTTTTACAGCATTAGGCTTAATTTGTATGCTTACAGGGTTATTATTAGGCACTTCATTAGCAGCCTTCACATGTAGGTTCAGAGCACACTCTGAGGAGTGAATTTTCGAACCGCACGTATGATCACACTCCAAAGCAGCAGTTTGATGCATATCAAGTTACACAAAAAAGTGGTTCAATAGTTTTGCACATAGATCGACGTAGCGCATAGTTTCCCAGGTTATAAAAGTTCTTGCGTGATGAACACTTCTACGACCAATGGGAAAAGCATTATAATTAGTGCTTATGTGGTTTTGTTCTCCTCTCTCACTCTTTTTGTGACAGCCCAAGGCTTTGTTGATAGTAACTTGCCAACAAATCAACGGATCTCAGGTTTTATATTAATCTCCACTGACACAAATGATTGCTAGAAGCCACATTTCATCGTGTGCATCTCCATGGTGCACGCTGCGATACATTGAAAGTGTGTGTGCGTCGGGTTACCGTTTTCGATTGTATGCATATTACATTTACACATACACTTTTGAGTGTGCGTTTGAGTAGCATGTGATTTTTTTCTGCACACCTATGTGTGAAGGTTACTTATATCTGTAATGTCAATGTCAATAACATTAACATTATATAAAGTGATATTGAATGCTGTAAACCAGATTCAACTAAGATTTGAACCCATGCCAATTATAAAAACATTTAAATTATGCTTAATTTCCATTCCCTATCGCACTATGTATCAGCATGTAGCAAATTGAATGACGTAACATTATTTATTAATAATAGTATGCATTTAACAATTATTTATGACATATCTATAATACCAGCAAACAAACCTAAGAGGGCAAAAGCTGAAGTCAGATTCATTTATCGTCATTCATATGGGGAAGGAGCAATACAATGAACTTTTTCATTTCAGAATTAGCCCCACAGAAAGTAGACCTGATTTATCTCTGATGGCTTGACAAAAAAATAAGATTGACTTCATAATGACCAAGAGACAGTTAGAGATAGTTGTAATATTATTGCAAATGTGAAAACAGGCAGCAAACAAAATCCATTTGGGTTGATACTACCATAGAGTCTAGCCTATTTCTTTCCCCAAACAATATGTACACTCTGATTTTACTCCGGTTTGAAGTTTAAGAGCAACATAATTAGTATATTTCAAATAAAATCAGGAAAAATGTAACCGCATAAAGATTCCCTCGTAATATACTATATTATCATAAATTATTGGCACATTATGATTTAAATTTATAAAATTTTAACACTTTTTGTAATCATTATTTAAGAGAATCATGTTCAGCACTTTCACAATCACTTTTTGTTATCATTCTCATTACAAAAGTGCCATTTTGTATAATTTTATCTGTACACAAACTGACAATAGCTAGTGGTGTATGACTTCAAACATCTATCAAATGATATGCATTCTTTGAAGTATTTTTTTAAAGAATACTTGTAACACTATTAACATTACTAATTCTCTTTACTTTACTTATGTATAACCACTCTGAATAAGCTTAAAATACTTGTGTAAAAAGTGATTCAGCACAATAACTCAACAGATTAGTAGTAGTTTAAAGAGTAATAAATAGTGAATGCAGTGCCACTGCACCTTCAACCATTATATGTAAATATAAATGTTAAATAAAATCTTAATTTTATTACAAATATTTGAATATTCACCTGATAAACTGATGTATCACTTACAGTTTTATTTTCAGTCAAGCATGAGCATCCGCCATATTTATTTACATGGTTTCTGATTTCATATTAAATAGACTATACATACTAAGATATTTCATCTTACTATATAAGAAAAACAGTACATCTCCTTTGTTTAAAGCTAATGTGGACACCCATAGGTATCCACTCTACATCAGATGGATTAACTTGTTTTAATCTATTATCAAAAAAGTGTATCAATTATAAATAACTCTGGTAGAACATCAACATTTACAACATTACTTGTTACTTTGATTATATAATAGAAAAAACATTTACTTTATATTTAAATAATTTCTATTGTCAGTTTTGAGAACATTAAACAATTGTATATTAGTAATCAGTAAACAATAATTATAAACTTTAATTATCATTATTTACAAAGCATAGAAATGTGTACACATTGAAAATATATTTAAATATAATTGATTGCTAATTGTTAGCTTACATCAGGTAAACAATCATCACAATAGCAAAAGTCATCCTCATTCTGTCCTTTTTCTTTTTTAGTCCTCCATCTTTTAAGTCGCCACCAGTCCTTAAGCCACTGCCACTCCATTACTAGCTACTATCTTATATTTTTAACACTGTTATCACAATTATCAAATTTGATATGATTAAAAAAATTAACAGCCGGCCCTTAGCAGTGGTTCGTCACTGGCACTTTACTCATGATAACTAAGATAAATTTGACAAATTAACATACTATTATACTCACTTGTCATTGTCACTTCTACTGTTAGGTAATTAGTAATATAGATTATGTATATTATATGCAGAATAAGTCAAAGTATTAGTTTCAATTATTACATACAACTTTATCTAAATATGCTTTGTAAGTATAGTGGGCAACAGATATTAACTTATTTATGTTTTATTATGCATTATGTGAAGTGCCTCAACAATAATACATACTGAAATAAATTTGTGAAAAAATGACCACTTTTTTTACTAAAACTAGAGATTACTAATGAAAGTGCATTAAATTGATATTCTCTATTTCGTGCATCAATTAATAACTGTTTATTTTCACAGACAGACGTAAAGAGTCAATAAGTTTAAATGTCACCATAAATAAAATTTGTTAAAGATCAATAATTGCAGAGTTTAACTTACAGGTGATCTTATAGGAACAAGATTCCCATCATCTCCAACATAAAATTGTGGTTGAGTAGCTTGCCGTAAGCCTTGATAACCATGTTCAAGCTCAGTGTATGACATTACCTACATATGCTAGCCTAATATTAAATTTATTAATAATGTAAATAAATCTGTCAGTATATTTTTAAATAGTATTAGCTACAGGCACTTATAAATATTATTAACAATCACAAATCACAAATAAATCATACATTTAAAGCTATTATTTGACAAATAGGACCTTGGCATTGGTCATTGGTCTAATGTCAAATTAAATGTCATACTCCATGTTTTTTAAATAAGATTTTTTAGCTTGGATGCTTGTTCTTTAAGCTATGTCTTCATTTATCTCAGTATCAAGTGATAATAATCCTTTGTAGTAAACTGCTTCACAATATGTTGATGCGTCACATTGCGCAGCCCTTAGGAGATTTTGACGGCAACTTGAGCCAGCAGACAGTTGGCGATAAAATCTGAAGGCACATATGCAGACAGATATTTTATTGCGAGATTCACATCACCATCGGAGCACTTGTTTCACCGTTTCCACTAATTGTTCACATGCACATCCATTTCAAACCATTATTTTAAGAATAATACAGGATCAGCAATCCACCGCCGGTCAAATTTAAAAAAAAATCCACCGCCGGTCAAGATTCCGCCAAAACTCCTCATACTCCTTGTACCTGTCAAAAACAAAGGCTATATAGCAATAACTTATGTAACTTTATATAAATACACTTTATGGATTTGAGCAAAATCTAAACCATAGATCTCTATTCTAACCAAGAAGCTCTTCTTCATTCTAAAAGATCTATGATCTCAACTTTTTTATTTTTTAGCTGACTTCAAAAAAGAAGAGAATGAAGACTTTTCCAAGCAACCATTTGGCTAGAGGAAGGTTGTGGTCCTTTATTATAATCACATCATCGATTTCAGGTTAAATCTTCTTTGTATTTTAATTTTATCTTTGATTTAGCGTGATTAAATACTCTTCTGACCATCTTTTCCAAAAATCGTTTACTATTTGGACAGAATTTCCATCTTTGTTTTAACTAGTACTATCAAGAGTTTACTCACCAGCAAATGATCTGGGGTTAGTGGTAATGGATCCTCAGGATTGTCACTTATATAGGAAAGAACGTTCACGTCAACTTTCTTATAAAGTGCCACGTTTAAGCACGCCTCGATTTGTGCTAGAACTGTAGAAAGTTCTTCGAAGGTGAACTTTGAATCACCTATAACTCTTTGCAGATGTCACTATGCATCGAACTCCTGCTCCCCATAAGCCTCCAAGATTAGAAGAATGTGAAGGTGTGAAATGCCACATTGTTCCTTTAATAGAAAGTAGTTTGTTGATTTCATCGGGTAGCTTAGACTTGACATTATTCTCTCATCATTCGTGCAACTCTTCATCGGCGCCAACAAAATTGGTGCCATTATCACATACAGTGACTACGACGAGACACGAAATAGCGAAAGGCTGCGATAAAGCCCTAAGCTGTTAAATCCAAGACGGCTTCTAAGTATATAGGTTTTGATATGATACATACGAAGCACAGACTAATATTATGCTTACGCTACGATAGGAAGGCATATATATCTTTTGTATGCTTTGGCTCCTTGACTGGAAGATATACGTATATTTATATCGGAAACGGTCGAGATGGCTTTAATCTCGCTTTAGAAAGCTGAGCCATAAACTGGTTTTTATCTTGCCTGGATATTAGTTATTGTCCTGCCATAGTACACTTGAGCACGGTGAATCAGTGATGCAAAAGTTCCCGATTTATCGGGAGATCTACTGATTTTAATTGGTATCTCCCGATATCCCGATTTAGCGACCGTATTTCCGGATTTTTTTTTTACATTTTCAACTAATGTAAAATAATAATCATAAATAAAATTGAAAAGTAATATTCAAAATACAAAAATGAACCTTTAACACAAAATCTATGTACGGGGACTTCCCGAAATTGCTCGCACCACGTCCTATGGAACCTATACCTATACTCTTATTAGGTTTTTAACTTTGCGGTATGCTTAAAGCATATTGCACTGAAACATCTTAAAATAGAGTTCATTATTGTCTGGTAAGTGTACGGGGAGATCCCTAAAAATTACTTTGTTCGGGTTGTTTTACGAATTAGGTAGCTTAAGCCATGTATATATATAGGTAGTGTTATTCGTTCATAGAATTATATTCACTAATTACTTGCCTTCTTCTGTTGTGTTGAGAACTGTTGTGCTTTATGTCCAAATTTGTTAGGGAGTATTAGTTATCAAAAAATTAATTTAGAGTGGCGTTTGCTTCTAAATACGAAAGAAATTGAATCACTCAGTGAAAAACAGAAAAATTTTGAAAAAGGGTGAGGAGCAAAAATATATAATTATTAAAGTTTAGTTTAAATTATAAAGACATTATTTAGATCGCAAAAACGGAAAATATATATTTTTCACTTTTGCAAGAGTGCGCTGAATGCGGCCACCAACTCTTGACACCCTATCCCTTGAATCTCGCTTTAAGAGGATTATGAAGCTGTAAATTTTCATACAAAAAGCGATAACGTGTCCCCCCCCCCCCCCCCGTAAGTATAGTCCAATTTTAATAATTTTTGGAAATGTTGTAGATATGACAAAAACTAGGCCCATACGTTTTTATTTTAAAGAAATATTGCACAGGATATAAGTTATTAGCATCTAAATATCTATATTTTTGATTTAAAGACTTCCTCGAGCGTTTTTATTTTTTTCAATTAAACTACACTGATTACTAACAAAGTAAAACGTACAGCCATAGACTAAAGTGTATTGAATCTAATAAGACCAAAATTGCCTTATTTTGTAAAGGTTTAGGGGAGTAAAAACGTTATCACCGGAAACAATATTTCAAAAAGAATATGTAGGCAATTTTTTTCAAGACTTGCAACTCTCTCTATCGCACGATACGGGTCGGGGGGCAGGGCATATTGTAGTAATGTTGGAAGTGTTATCGATATTATTATCGCCTAGGGAGGAGAAAGTAATATCGATAACCTACAAAGATAATACCTCTCGTGAAAAAGTTAATATCTATGATTATTCAGTGTTTATCGAGTCTTGTTACGGCCTACGGCTGCTCCCCTAAAGATCAAATCCTCCGGGGCCCATCAGCGGAGTTTCAACGAACAGACGTAGGTCGGGCCTCAATATGGCTGCGTGGAATTTCCTAATTACAATAAACAATATGGGAGGAAGCTAGAAACACATAGTACTTAACATTATCCGAAGCTAACTTCGCACCAAGGCTTGGGCAGGCGGTGAGTGTGTGTAATAGTGGATGGCGAGTAGTGTACAGTGGGGTGTGAATGTGTGGGGCCTTGTCAAGCATAGGCGACCAGCAGCGGTCGAGTTCCAGGCTGCTCCAAAATGCTGCACCACTTCAGACTGCTTCGGCGCCGGACCACTTCTTCGTTCGTCACGATGACAGTCCATTAACTCTATCGTAAGATTAACTAACTTACAGAAGCCACTAACTCTCGTTTGTTATAAGGTTAACGCACAAAAAAAAAACACGGAGTGTCCGGATCAAAGGTCACTACCGTTTCGCGTAGCAACAGTTATTTCTAGAATATCAAAGGCCGCACTAGCTAATATTGCCGAGTGCACTTATGCAGATTCTGAGTCATACACAATGAGTCCCTGGGAAGCTCTCCATCAAAGAATGCGCGTCACAAATCCTAGACCGTATATTACTGGCCACGCCTAATTATTCCGAGTTCCCGACAAAAATGACAGCGTGCGGTTCCAAGCACAACTGGCAGACGACTGCTTTCTAGGCATGAGACCGATATATCAAAACGTAACTAATAACGTTATGTTATCAAATATCATATCATATCCATAAACCTAAGAACATAACCGTTATCACATATCCAACCAAAACCCAAAAGCTAATCAACGTACGAAACGTAAAACGGCAAACTGTAACGATATGCCAAAAACCGAAAACGGCCTAAAACCAAAACTAACCGATGTCCTTTGATATTCGTTGTTTCTCGTTTTAGCGACAATATCATAAATACGTATGAAAGAGATGAAGCAAATATGGATTTCGTTGCGATGTTTTGGTTGTTATCATAAAACGGTGCACGTAGTGAAATATAATTGTAAGTTCCTTAACAAAAAGGTTGAATTTTAAATGGTTAAAATTGCCTATTTTTTTTAAGTTTGTGTAGTTGTGAAAGTTGTCAGATTTAAATGATCTTTAGGACATTAGGCACTAGACTTAGATTTGTTTGATCACATTATATTTGGTTTAGGCAACTTTTGTTTGCGTGAAAGTTAGAATTTGATATTTTTTCAAACGTAACAATTACGCACTTGACATTGGTGGCGTGTGCCGTTCACTATGAAACTATCCGTAAAATTATTAATTTT